TCTGTCCCACTAGGACTTTGGCCCAGAGACACAGGCAAGGCCCACTGTGTTGAGAATAGACCCACTAACTCCAGCCAAACACAGAAATGTCATAAGCCCATTCAGAGACAAGGAGACTGAGGCCTAGGGAGAGGTGGTGGTGCGAGCTCGTGGAGGCATGTGGATGTTGGAGCATTCAGTCCCTTGAGTAGGAAAGTGTAACTAACTGTGTCCAGAGGATGTACGGGCCATATCCCTTTCATGAAGGAATATCCAAGTGATGGACTTAGATGTTGGGGGTAGCCCTCCCTGTCATTATAGACATCCGAGTAAGCAGTGGCAGTCCTGCTGGCCCTGCAAGGGGCTCAGTGTCAGGGAGAAACAACTTGGTGACTGTGAAGAGGACAAGGCTGAGAAGAAGGGAGAATGGGAATCTCCTGGTCACCAGCACAGCGACAGACTTACACTACCTTCCGTGATGGCTTGTGGAAGCCACCACCTCTGGGGCCATGAGCTGCTTGCCACATGCCAAGGTTGCCAGGAGGCCTTACCTTTTGAACTTGTAGAGGATGAATGCTCCCACTGCAAAGAGCCCAATGACAAAGAGGACCACCACAGCCCAGTAGCCACCACTGCCACTTGGCCTCTGAGGACCTACAAGAATAACAACAAGAGGAGAAGCTGTGGGCTGGTTATCCCCAGCCCTGGCCTAAATGAGCCTACTTCATGTTGTCCAGGGGGCCTTGTCCATGTGGCTGAGTGGACATGATTTGTGTGGCTTTTGAGGATTGGCCTTTCTTCCTGGCAAAGTCCTATAGTAGGGCCTACTTTGTCCTAGTTTCCTGCAGAGGGAAGCAACACCCTTCTTCTACACTGGTTTTAAGTGAATTGGCAGGTTCCTGGTGGTTGCTGTGGCTGCTTCCATACAAACCATGCCAAGATGATAAGGCCCAGGGCTAAATGTGTAGGAGCTGGTGCACCTAGCCAGGGATGCCCCAGCCAGAGGGTTGCTGGCAGCTAGATAAAGGCTCTGATGAGTCCTACAGTCACTCTCAGCATCCACTGGCTTGGGCTCACATCCACCCTGTCCCAGACCCAACACAGGTCTGTCACCTGTATCTGTGTCCCTCAGGTCCACCAGGATACGGAGCCCTCCTCGGAGGATGAAGCTGATCCTATGAGAGTTCAGTGCCTGCTGCACAGCTGCCAGTCTCTGTAAACAAAGGGAGGTGGGAGAGTCCTGGGGACCCGAGTACTGGAGAGTCACCTGGAGCTGGGAAGGGATGCTGCCTGATGCCTCTGTGTTCTCATCAGGGAATGGCATGAGAGCTCACCAGCTGGGTTCACTAGAAGCCACTGGTGGTGCAGGTATCCCTGCCATCAATAAACTCATTTCAGCACAGAACAGACAGAGGACATAGGTTCTAGTGTGTGGGTGGAAGACTTGGAGTGCTCCAGAAGTCCCCACAGTGGTATGGTCAGAGAGGCTTCCAGGAAGCGGAAGACCACAAAGATGAGACAGGACAGGAAATCCCACCTAATAGGGGAGTCAGAAGGAGCAACTGGGTTAGGGAATTCTGGGGGGAACACAATGCCTTGCTCAAGATCCCTGTAACATGACTATCAGATGATGTTCACAGCACACATCAGAGCTCACCCAGACCTCACCATCATTATGTCACCACCTGTCAGTCACTGTCCAGGATCCAGCATGGAAACCCAGCTGTGCTCAGTGACACACATTTCCACATGGCTATGTCTCTAAGATTATGACCTTAGCTAAATGCACTGAGCAGAGCCAGAAGCTATAACAGCTACAGAATCCCAGTCTTTGGAGGAGAGAAGACTTTGCCTCCATCTGTGGACACTTGTTGACACTGTGTCCTGGACACTCATAGGCTCACACTGAACATTCTCCTGCACACCAACACCAGGAGGTGATCAGCCCATGACCTCCTGAGTGTCTGGCTGGCTACCATTGTCCCTGTGAACTCGACTTTGCCTTCAGAATGGAGCCAGCTGGTCCAAAGGCTACTCAGCACTCAGCGTATGGGGGCCTCTCTGATAACAGTCCCCAAGGTGTCCCTGTCAAGGCTCGTTATTGAGGATTTTCTAGGATTGCTGAGCTGACTTCCAGTTTGCCCTGTAGCTTGAGGTCCAGGGTCTCTCACAGTGCTCATCCATGTGTCCCAATACCTCTAGCAGCGAAGCTGAGATCACACGACAGCCCCAGACAATGATGTGAGAGTGGAAACCATCCCCACATGCCGGCTTAGCCTCCTCCCCCTGCCTATCTCACTAACTTTGGATGCTGGCAGATGGTGGTACCCCAGGTCAGACAGCATTATAGAAAGAAGTAAACCTTTAAGTGATGTCCCACAGAGATGTGATTGTCAGGAATGACCCCACCTACGTCTTCAGCGACCCAGCCCTGCCATGCAGGGAGGACCTGGACTCAGGTGGCCATAGACATACCTTGTCACTTGTGAGGCTTCTCTTCCTTGTAGGCCTGGGAGGGGGCAGCAGAACATACAGGTCCGCTATGGTGGGCAGTCCTGGCTTTACTACAGTCACCAGCAGCTCCTCAGGGATGCTGGTCTCCTGTGGGGATAGGCAGGACACTCGGATCCTCTTCTGTTCCTCTTATGTTGCCACAAGCTAAATTTCCAGCAACATCTGCCTCCCTTCCTGGCCTAGGTATGTCCTGGCCACCTGTCCTGCTCCACACTCCTGACTCTCAGCCCCATGGGTTCCTATAGTCCTGTCCTTCCCTCTGAGTGTCCAACCCAGGGCACCAACCCACTACTTCCCAAGCAGCCCCAGCCTTGTCTCACCCTCATTTCTCAGCCCACAAACCACACCATGGCTCATAATAGAATTGCAGCCCAAGTCACAGGGTACCTTGGAGAGAAGCCGGGTGACCACCAGCCCCACGTCCTCCCTCCACTCAGGAGTATTGGGGTTAAAGGTATCCAGGTCCTTGGAGAACTGCAGAGGCACCACCTGGAATTGAGCTGGAAGAAGCAGAGTGGAGCCTGTGAGGTCTGTGGTGTGGCTGGGACCCTGCACAAGGTAGCAATGCCAGATGGTCCAGATAGCCTCACCTCTATTCCTATGGACCTGGTTCTGTGTTTGGAAGATCAGAGCCCTCCTTTTCTTCAACCATCAGTGCCTGACATGTACTGATGATGACAGTGGCTGCCATCCGGGGACAGGGGCATGGCACTGCATGCACCTGCTTCATGAGATCTACTCCTCAAGTCACAGGAATACATACCTATGATGTCATCTAATTCCTCAAGGACTCATGGAATTCAACTCACTAGCCACCCCACCAGATCAACAGTTCCATGAGGTTAGAGGACCCATCTTTTGCCCCCATTTTATTTCTCACGGCCCGCAGCTCTGTTCTAGAGTCACAGGAGCCCTAGAATTGTACTTTTCTCTTTTATGGAGTGTGAAACAGCTATTCTGGGCAGAGGGCTCAGGAGACAGTGTTTTGTGAACTGTGACCCAACATCCTATGGTGTGGGCAGACTCAGATCCACAGTGAAGGCAGGACCAGCCCTGGGCAGACTCATCCCTCAGCCTGAAGGCCCCTAATGTGACTGATGGCAGTGGTCCGTGGCAGAGGATGTTTCTAAACCAAGTGAGCTTCAGGTGTGCTGAAGGGGTAATGTCCTCCTCCAGACACAGTATTTTACTGAGGGGTTGACAGTCCCAGGAAGCATAGACAATGGAGCACCATCTCCAGGTCCTCTTAAGGACCATCCTCAGAGTGGCAAGTGGAGAAGCCCTTGGAGATGGCAATATGGAGCTCATCTGTTCTTGCTAAATTACTGAGCAACAGACTCAATGGTCTCACAAGACACATGATTCATTTTATAGAGGGGAGAAACTGAGGTCAGAGAGTCTGGGGCACTTCAATAAGGCCACATAGCCAGCTACAGAACCCAAATCCACTCGGACTCCTCCCTGAAACCTAGGGCCACCCAGGAGTGAACAGGCACTCTGCAGCTGTACCCCATGCTGGTCTGTGTAGGGAGTGGGCAGATAACTCACCCAGCACACGGATGACCCTGGAGTCCTGAAGCACTGAGTTTCCACAGGCAGCCTGTACCGTCACACGCACATCTCCAGCATCTGTAAACCGCGTTGTCACTGAGTTGTCCAGGGAAAGCAGAGGCTGTGGGCACAAGTAGGGTCAGGCCTGTCTGGCAGTGTGTCAGGAGCACACTGGGACTTGCTGGTACTGGCTTTCATCAGCAAGTGGGCTGCATTGGCTGTGTCTAGGAGGGGTGGGGGGACCCTAGCATTCCCTAGAGGGAACATGTCCTGCCTCTGTAGCATGGTACATCCTTCTAGAGGCAGCCTGTGGCCTCCTATAGAACCTTCTGGTTGGTCTCTATGAAGCACAGGTCAGGCTCTGTGTCCCATCCCAGTTCAATTCACTGTCCCACCCACAGCCATGACCCAACAGGAGCTCAGGCCCTCCCTTGGGGTAGAAGGCAGCTATTTCCATCATGGGTGAATGGTGACATCACATGAGTTATAGGATAGGCCATGCCTTATATAAGCAAAGGCTCTGGGTGTTGAGTATTCAGGTGGCAAGGCTATACAGAGCCTCAAACTGAGAGCCCTGGTTTTTCTACAAGCCTCCCACCCCAAGAGACATGACCTCATCCTTGGAGCTCCTCCTTTCTCTTAGCCCTCCATATCAGGGCTTCTGTGGAGGTGTAGGGTTATTGCATCCAGAGTGAGGAAAGGGTGCCCATCCATGGGTCTTAAAGATGGGCATTCTTGCCCCCTCATCATCTGCTCTGCTACCTTGTTGTGTCTCCTGATCAAGAACTGCCCATGGCTCCCCATGGCTCACAGTGTACAACACAGCACTGAGTGAGGCCACATTCTATTCCTCCCACTGAAGCCCTCCCTGGCCACTACACTAACAAAAGCCTCCCTTGAGCTCACCTGTGACACATATATACCTGAATTTCCAGTCAACTACTGTTGACTGGAAATTCCATGTCTGTTCCATGTCTTTCCCAGGACTACCCAGGGGCTTTTCAGAGGGACCCTTAGTGGATGCTCAGGGTGGGTATTGAGTGAGGGAAAGGTCAGGACAAATCCCTTCTAATGGTCTCACACTGTGCCCTGATGTCAGGTACCAAGAGCAGCACCTTGCCCCACTTGACACACCAGATTGCAATCTATGAGAGGGGGACTGAGAAGGGGCGTAGGGCGTACCTGCAAGCTGTGGCCTATCCACCAGTAGAAGACAGTGAGGTTGGGGTTTAGGGGCAGCAGCACGGCTGTGAGGTTCACCTCTTGGTTGATGCCAATGACAGGGACTACCTCGAGGTAGAGGGCCTGCAGAGGGGCTGAAGAGTTCCCAAAGGTTCAGGGTTAGGGACAGTGAGGCACAGAACCTTCCAGTGGATACTTGCTTGTCATTGTTCCCACCAGATTCATTGGTACCATCACCACCATCACATCACTACCATCAGCACCATGATCATCACCACCACCACCACCATCACTACCATCAACACCATGATCATCACCACCATCATCATCACTACCATCAGCACCATGATCATCACCACAACCATCATCACTACCATCAGCACCATGATCATCACCACAACCATCATCACTACCATCAGCACCATGATCATCAGCACCACCACCACCATCACTACCATCAGCACCATGATCATCACCACCACCACCACCATCACTACCATCAGCACCATGATCATCACCACCACCATCATCACTACCATCAGCACCATGATCATCACCACCACCACCATCACTACCATCAACACCATGATCATTACCACCACCACCATCAGCAGCATCACTACCATCAGCACCATGAACACCACCACCACCATCATTACTACCATTAGCACCATGATCTCCACCACCACAACCATCACCATCTGTCACCACCACCACCAATGTCATCACCACCACATCACTATCAGCACCACTCAGTACAGCCCATCACCACCATCACCATCAGCACCCCACACCCATCATTCTCATCACCAATCACTGTCACCACTCACTACAACCTATTACAATCATCACTACTCACCATCCCCATCACCAACTCCATCATCACCACTAATGCTAAGGTTTGAATCTAAACTGTCCACTGGTTCATGTCACTAGTGTTTGTTCCCCAGATGGTGGTGCTGTTTGCTTTTTCCCTAATGGAAACCTCAATCTCTGCTCCCTGTTCTACCATGGTATGAGCAGCCTCTGGATGCCACATACTCCTGCATCTCTCCACTGTGTTTCCAAGCCATGATGGATTGAACCCTCTGAAACTCTGACATAAAGTAAACCGTTCCTCCCTCAAGTTCTTCCTGTCAGGTATTGTGGTCACAGAGAAGCACAAGAACTGGTTGCAGGTACATGGGGTTGCTGCTGTCACTAAATCTGACCATGCAGGTTTAAGCTATTTAGTGTGTGTGTGGGTGCTATTGTTTTGGGAAAAGAATTTGGAAAAGTGGTACTGGATTTTCAGGTACACTGGAGGCAAGAGTTTCAGGGTCATAGATGCTTGTACTCAGATTTTAAAGGGAAGTTTGTTAAGCCAGGCAATGTGTGCATGGCAGGGTCGAATCCTCTATGTAATATGAATTAATAAAAGACCCAGAGACTGATATTAAGGTTCAACCTGAAGATCAGAGAAGCACTTTGGATGACTGTTCAGGTAGCGAGATGTCTCTGTCAATTCTAGAGTTTATATATTATCCTTCTGTGGTCTTTGGTGGAGTTTAAGACAGATAGTTATGTGTATAGTTTTCTTCAGTTATTATAAAAGATAAGTTACCCTTTTTATTTAGACAGAAAAGAGGATATGATGGGGGGATATGAGGTCTTCAGGCTCTACACATGCCAATCTGTCCCAGCATATGACCTCAGAAGCCATGGATCAGCTGTGTTCCAAGGAGAAGCATGGGGTTTTGCTCTTAGAGACAGGCTGAGGGAAGGGAGCTATTTGTGAGGTTATAAAGTTCTATTGAGTAGCCTGGGAAATGGATGGTATCTGCTTGTCCAACTAATTGACCTGTGTATATGTTTGTCTTATTGGTTGATCAATAAAGTACTGTTGGCCAATAGGAAATCAAGATAGGTGGGACTAGGAGTCAAGGAGGATTCTGGGAAATGTAGTAGAGATCCAGACAGGAAGTGACATAGCAGGCAGACTTAGAATATAAGAAGGGACAAGAAGGAAATCGTCCTCTTGCTCTTGTTCTTCCTCCTGCTCTCTTCTCTACGGAGCTGCCACGTGATTCTGGGTAGAAGACGCCAGCGGAAGCCGTCTCGATAAGTTTTAGAAAATATGTAGATTTATGATAATTAAGACTGAGCTAGAAAAAAAAAAGACTGAGCTAGAATGTAAGAAATCCTAGTCAATTGGCCAGCAGCATTGTAAACTAATATAAGACTCTGTATGTTATTTGGGGCACACATGGCAGTGGTGCTTGGGTGCCTGGCGTAAAAATTTATCATTACAGAACATGATTTGTTACTCTTTTAGACTGATTCAATCTCATGTATCCTTGGGTGACTTTGAACTCAGAGAGATCCATTAATCCTGAGTTTTAGGTCTAAAGGTGTGTACCTCCTAGCTTCTGGCTGCTGGGATTAAAGGCATGTGCTTGGCTTCTATGGCTTGTGGCTGACTCTGCTTTCTGAATCCTTAGGCAAGCTTTAAGAAATCAAAAATAATATGTAACCACACCCCTGCAGAGACTTTGACAGGGCAATTCATGACATTCTGAGGGTGAGGTCTAAGAGTCACTGGAGACCCAGCATGGGATGCAGGAACATGGAGTGTCTGTAGAGGAAGCCTGCAGGCAATGAATGGAGCCTGTGTGTGTGAGACTGAGAATGCTGAAATAGAAAGAACACAGACCCAGCTGCCCTATCTCATGATGCCATCACATGCTCCAGGTGCTACACAGAGCTATGGGACTCAATGCTTCCTTGCTGTGCTTCAGTCTGGTTCCAATCAAATCTTTTCTTGCTGTTCCTTTTCTTCTGTTTTTCAGGGGGGAATGTTTACTATAGATAGTAAGTGCATAATTGTCTTTTACAAGAACTGCTAAGAGACTTCTTTTCACATGAATGGAGTCTCTGGGATTAGACTTTTGAACATTGGGACTGTTGAGACCATGGTGACTCATGAAGTTGTACTGAATGCATTTTGTATTAGAAATGTAAGGCTATAAGCTTCTGGGGGACAGACGGAGACAATTAAGGTTTAAATCTAAAATATGCTCCTTAGCTTCGTGTCATAGTTTGCATTTCCCATCTAGAGACTCTTTTGGGAGAGGCTGGGGAACCCTTAGGAGTGGGTCTAGTTGGTGGAAGAGACCACCATTGGCAGACCTGGAGGTGACAGCCCAGCCATTCACTCCAGCCTTATTCTCTGATTCCTGAACCCCTGTGATGTGAGGAGCCCTTGGATCCTCCATGCTGTTTTTGCTATGAATGACAGCATGCCTTCCTTGCTGTGATAGACAGAAGCTCTATGAAACCGAGAGCCAAATTAAATCTTTCTAAGGTGTTTCTGGTGGGTATTAAAGTCACAGCCATGCAAAAATAACAAATGCAATCACCACATTATCACCATCACATTCATTAGCCACTATAACTACCATCAATCACCATCATCACCACCACCATTATCACCACAATTATCACCAGTGTCACCATCATTGCCACTCTGCTGTAATCATCAACACAGCTATACCATCACCACCACCAATATCATCACCATTGTCACCAATATTACCATCACTATCACTATCATTACTACTAAAACTATCACCATCAGTCATTGCCATCATCACCACTATCATCACCATTGCTTTCATCATTACCATCACTTGTATCACCATGACCACCATTACCATCCCTCACCATAACTTTTGTGAATAACATTGGTACCCGGTCTGAGCCCAGCCAACCTGCCTTTCTGTCCATGGCCTCACTGTAGCAACCCCACAAAACTCCCTGTGCTTCCCCAAAGCCCCAGCTCTCCATTTCACCGCCTCAAAGGAGCAGTGGACTTACAGTTGACCTGGACAAAGAGCACAGCCTCGTCATGGCCAGCCATGTTCTCAGCCCTGACAGACACTCGGTAGATGCCAGGACTCTCATAGTGGTGCCGGATGGGCTCGCCAGTCAGAGTGAGGTTCACATACATGGCCTTGAAGCCATCCCCAAGATCCACCTGGTACTTAGTGGTCAGGACATCACCCTGTAGGGAAATACCACAGGGTCACTTAGGAGTGACTCTCAAGGTGGGGGTCCAGCACTAGATCCTCACTCCTTCTCTCCCTTCTTCCTTCAGATGTAGGCTCTATGGGTCCACAGAAAGTAGGTTGGCTCTGACTTCAGGACTTTTAGGATTTAGGCTTCCTGATTTTAGGAAAGCAGGTTGAAGGCTGTGTGGGGTTCAGGAGGAAGCCTGATCCTGAGCCAGGCCATGGAGATGGGAGAGAAATTGTGAAAATGGAGAAGGCTTTGTTATAACTACCATGAGTTATTTTTCAGGGAACTGTAACAAACAAAATGCAACTGTCTTTCTATGACAAGGTGGCTCCCTGTTTCTCATATCATCCTACACTGTGACAGGAAAGAGGCTCAGCTGTGTGGAGCAGGCAGGGAGGGGGTTTGTCCCCAAGTGGCATTGAATTCCTCATGAAAACTGCTGGCTGACCCTGACTCTCAAGCTTATGACAAGATGGAGTTCCTGTGTTCACATTAAAGTTCCCCTCCTGTCTGCCTGCCTCCTCCCCTCCTTCTCTGTCCTCTTCCCCTGCTCTCCCTATACTAGCAGTCTTCCTACCTCATACCCTCCGGACCCCCAAAATCAAGGGCATTTGTATGTAAATGGTGTTCATTTAACTTTCTCTGTGAATACACTACACTGGATTGGATAGAACCACCCCAAACCCATGTCTGTTGGGAACCTCTGAAATAGACACTTAAAATAAGTCTGCAGATGCAAGACATTAAGAGGTAACAATGAGGCATGAGGTGCAAGAAACCTGTGGGCAGGATCCTTAAAGAGAAAACAGAGGTGACTTGGGCACCAGGAGAGAGCTCTTTGGACACAGAAATAGATCCTGTAAAGTGCAGTCATGAGTAAGGGGCTCCCAGAATGCTCAGAAGATGGCCAAGTTTTGTTGGAACATTTCCAGAACCCACCACATATGGTGCTTCATGTGCCTGTTTTATAGGTTGCAAGACTGAGGCTTTCAGGGATCCATTGCTGTCCTGATAGGGTTGGGTGAGGATTGAGGGGAATGTCTGCACCGAATTCATTCCTATAAGGGGGCTAGTTCTGGGTAGCATTCAGGAAGTGGGTGTCTGCTTGTGGTTTTGAGGTCCCCATCCTTCACAGTACATGTCTTTGTGTACATCTTCCCCTGTGCTGCTAGCCATCCGTTCAGCCTGCTATGCCCACTGTCTCCTCATGGTTTTTGCTCATTTTCAAACTGGCTGATTCATCTGTTGTTGGGAGTTCTTTGTACAGTCCTGCTCTGCTGCCCACTGGGCTGAGCCAACAAGCACCCTCCTGTCCACAGTTGCCTTTATTGTCTTGACAGTTTTACTGATTCTAAATATAGATGGAGCTGACACATCAAGGTTTCATTGTGTGGCCTGGAGCCCCATCCACGCTGTAGACTCCCAGCCTGTGTCTGGGCTGGCTTCAACGTGGGTCCTAAAAGTTTACACTTTCCCACGTCTTTTGCAGGTGTGTGATCTATTTTGGGTTCATGTCTGAGGTCTGGAGGGAGGTGCTATTGCTGGATGGAGAGACACCACCTCTCCCAGTCTGTTCTGCACTTTTCAAGAGCAGGCAGGTGTCTGTGGGTCTGTTCCTGGCCTCCATCCCCCAATGCTGTGACTTCTTAGATACTTAGAAAACGCAGGCTCCCCATACCCAGCCCTGCTCTCAAGCCTGGTGATGTGCAAGTGTAGGTGTGTATGTGTGGTAGAGGAGAGCACACTGTGCCTGTAAGTGTTTATGAGTGTGTAAGAGAGTTTGTTTCACAGTGTAAGTGAGCATATGCTCATCCTCAGTCCCATGCTCCTAGCCTTTTCCCTCCCAGGCCTGGGTTGCCCCAAGATCTCCTATTTCAAGGTATCTTTATGTTGCTTCCCTCAACTTTGCCCAATCCTAAGCCCGACAGGCAGTCCAGCAAGGGTTTCAAAGATGCTCTGTCCTCTAGTCCTTTTGACCCAGCCAAGGCACCTACCAGCAGATGTGCTATAGTTTCCAGTTTTAGGCTCTAGGGGGCAGCAGATAGCCATGTTTCTGGGATGTCTGGCCAGGAATTTGAGAGCCTCCCCTGGATCTATCTGAAGGTCCAGGAAGTCACAGCTACCAACAGAGATACCCAGCCCTGCCTCAGGGCTGCCTGATGGCTCAGGTGAGCCTTAGGGCTGTCACAGTCGGTGAGAGGACCTGGGCAGGAGGTGGAGTGTGTGTGTGTGTGTGTGTGTGTGTGTGTGTGTGTGTGTGTGTGTGTGTGTGTGTGTGTTTCTGTGTGTGCCAGGGTTGTATAGCTTGGGCCTGGGGACCTCAGACTTGGCCACTGTCGGTTTAGAGTCCAGAGGCCTCTAGAGGACACAGTGCCATCTCTGCCTCTCTTTACTATGTAGCTCTGAGAGAATGGTGTCACTGTTCATGCCTCAGCTTCCTCATCTACAATACTATAAGTTGATAGAGTGCACAATGTAAGATTGTATTTCCAACAGGAAGAGACTGTCACAGTGTCTAATGTACAGGTGCTCAGTGTGGCCAGTTTGAGTCTTCCATTGCCTCAGTTTCTCTGTTTTCGGGAGACCAGGTCTCTGCTTCTAAAGACAGACACCTATTAAAGGATGTTTGAGTATAGCACGCATGATCATGGATTCACCCATACTAGTCTTCACATGTTAGCTGAAGATCTGGACTCCTGCCTGCTCACAATCCTGGGGGAGAAATGGAGTCCTCCCTCTGCCTCTGTGAGTGAAGCTTGCCCAGAACCCTAGGGAGAAAAGGGGCCTTCCCCTGCCTCTGTGAGTGGAGACTGCCCAGAACCCCAGGGAGAAAGGGGGCCTTTCTCTGCCTCTGTGAGTGGAGACTGCCCAGAACCTCAGGGAGAAAGGGGGCCCTCCCCAGCCTCTGTGAGTGGAGACTGCCCAGAACCCCAGGGAGAAAGGGGGCCTTCCCCTGCCTCTGTGAGTGGAACCTATTCAGAACCTCAGTGAGAAAGGGGGCCCTCCCCTGCCTCTGTGAGTGGAGCCTGCCAAGAACCCCAGGGAGAAAGGGGGCCCTCCCTTGCCTCTAAGTTTTGTGAATGTTCATGTTTTTCTAATAGTCATTTTTAAATTCCTTGCAGGGATCATTAGTTGCTTCTATAAGCAGAGACACAGGGATGTGTCTTGTGAACTAGAAGGAAACAGAAAAGTTAACAGTTCCCTTGAGGGACAGAATTTTAGGTGATATTTATGTCTGGGTTTTTTAAAAAAAATTATAAATGTATTTCCTAAATATACTACAATAAGCATATATTATTTTTAAAATCAGAAGAAAATGTAACACTTGTTCTGAAGTAAAAATAGAATGAGTGGGAGACTGGGCGGAGAAAAAATATATATATATTTGTGTGTGCATATATATAAACTTATATTTATATCTATCCCCATATACACACAGAAGGCGTTATCTCTGGATGTGTGATTATAAGTCATTAAAAAAAAACTGTATGCTTTCATTGGGATTCCAGATCAACTAAATCAATATAATTAGAGATTTAAAATAGCTTTAGTGCTGGGCTGGTGGTGTAGCTCAGTAGAAGAATGCTTCTCTAGTCTACACAAGGCCCTGAGTTCCAATGTGAGCACTAGAAGAAAAAAAAATCAATAAAAGAAATTTAGTGCTACCTATGGGGAGGAATCGATTTTGTACCAATGTTTGATAACCACAAGATCACACACACATGCACAAACACACACCCATATACTCACACACACACGTGTGTGATGTGGAGCCCACTTCCTGCTGAACATCTGATACACACTTGCTCTTGTATCTTTCTCATCTCAAATGCTGGTCTGAACCAAGAGGCCAATTTGGTCCTTGGCTCCCACCCTCAGGGGCAGGCTGGCCTCTATGGCCATGTTCCAAACTGTCCAGAGCCTCAACCTTGTGTGCCTGGCTGAAACTTCCCTTCTAGTGACAGTCCAGGGTGGATGCTCACCTGTTCCTGCCGCACCACAAACAGCACGTCTTCTCTAGGCCGCACAGCCACTGCCTCTCCACGGATGCTCACCTGCAGGCCCCGGGGTGCTGTGAGGGGGCACTGCAGCTGCACCGGGCTCTGCTGCAGGTCCACACCACCTTCACACACATTGGATACCACCTTCCGGTACCTGGGTGGATGAGGGAGGGTCACATTAGAGGTGGACAGTGGCTTGATGGGTAGGGATTGTCTCTCCTGAGGCAACTCACAGCCTCAACCTCTATAGCCCCCATTTGCTGCCTGCTCCCCATGCTACCTCATGGCTGCTTCTGTCTACCATAGAGCTGAGAGTACTGAGGATCAGGATGGAGGGACTGGCAATGCCCATCTGCTTTGGAGAGCTGAAGCATCCATAGCCTGACTATATTGCCCATAGTAATAGCAACGGTTTTTCTAAGGGACGATGGATGGAAGGAGACAGTCTAAATCCAAGGTCATAAGCAAGAATGTTGCTCTTCTTGGGATGTCTCCACCCATATACTACACGTGTATCCACTCAACAGTGGCACAAAGGTCTCTTTGTGGCCCCACCAGGGCTTGGCAAGAAGCAACTCTTTCTGAAGCTTTATCCAGGACCTGCATCAAGAGTATGAGTTTAGAAAGATGGGTATTTGTGGGGGCAGAGAATGGGTAGATGGATTGGTGGGAGGATGGGTGGGTATGTGGGTGGGTAGATACGTGCACAGGTGGATAAATGAATAGATTGATGGAATAAATAGACAGGTAGATGAATAGGGGATAGATGAAGCAGATGGCTATAAGGATGTGTGGGTGGATAGATGATTTATGATTGGGTAGATGAGTGGATGAAAGGGTGGATATATGGAAGAAATATATGGATAGGAGATGTTGTAATCAAATGGGTTGGTGGCTAGATGGGTGGAAGTAAGGATGGCTGGATGGATGGATGGATGAATGGATGGATGGATTGATGGGGTTGGATAGCTGAGTAGATGGATGATAGATGTCAAGCTACATATAGCCAAGGCTAAAGCATTCAGTTCCTGGTCCTGCCTGTTTCTTCCAGCACTCCAGGGTAAAGTAATAAGGAATCCCTCACAAAGGTTGGGGAAATGGGCCCAGCACACAGAGCATGTAGAAGCTGAAGGGTCACAGATATTATGCTTTTGGTATTTCTACATGAAGTTGATACTTTATCAGTAGCTTGTTCAGAGCTTGGGCAGGCTGCCACTTCCCCATCCCATGGAGTTTGAGGCCACCATAGCAGACTGTAGGAACACTCCTGTGCCATAGGCTTAGGACTAGCCAATGAATATGCCAGTGGCTGAGATTTCAACTACAGCAGAGGAAAACTTAGAAGTGGGGGCTGATCTACCAAGGCTTCCACCCGGAAGTCTGGTGTAAGCGGAATCCATCAGGCTTCAGGAATGTCTCTGGTATCATCACAGTATGAGTGTGAAAGGCTCAGGAAGACCAGAGAAGGATGAGGCTGCTCTGGGGTCTCAGTCCCACAGTAGTTGGAAGACTTGGGACCACTTCTGCCCCTCTATTCTCTATGCTGTGTCAATGCAAGGTAGCTCACCCAAGAGCTCAATTGGATCTTTGGGCCACTGCATCAGTCTGGTGACTTGCTGAGCCCTGCATACTAGAGCCCAGCACCAGGACCATGATCTCTCCTTTCAAGATGTGGGTTGCCAGGAAGCACAGTATAGGGCTTGCCTGGGCCCCACTTCTAGAGCTTGTTGGCAGATGGGGGTTGGGGGCTGGATGGATGTGTGGGTGGGTAGATAGGTAGATGGCTAGCTGACTGGCTGGCTGGGTGGCTAGAGGTTGGCTGGGTTGGTGTACTCACCCAAGGCTACTGGTGTAAGTCTGGCCCAGGACACAGTCTTCAGGAGGGGACAAGGGGTTGAACCAGAAGTTGGCAGAGCACTTGTTGGCAGTGGACTCAGAGGAAGATGAACGCTCAAACCCATAGTCACTGGGAAAGGAAAGCTGGGTTAAAAGGTGAGATTAGAGGTGACAGCTAGGGTGGAGAAATTTATACCACAGGTCTAGATGTGTCTATCTGTGGGGAGATGGGTTTGTCTCAGAGAACAGATGGAACATAATAGCTCCATTCCAGAACAAGGAGGATGGAAATGAAGTGGAGCTTGGAGGGCTTCCTGGGGGAAGTGAGTGCTAGAGTCAATGACCTTGGAAAGGGCTTGGAGACATGAATATGGGGTGCAGAGTAGAGAGGATGAGGCAGGTTGGGGTGGAGACTTTGTGAACTACATTGTCAAAGGGCAATAGGCCTCTGAGTGGAATATATTCCTAGAGAGAGGTGAGGGACTAGGTGGGTGTGGCTTGCTTCCATGATTCTCTAAGGTAGAGGTGGCAGTGTGTGTCTGAGACTAGGCCTTGAAGGACACTGTGGCTTCTACTCTGGTTCTAGGGACAAGGTCATCATGATATAAAGATGCTGGAGCAGCCAGGGGGAAGGGGCGGTGCCCACCAGAGGAAGTCAGAGTCCCGGCACTTGCACACACGTGATGTGAGTGCAGATGTGAAGCTCCTCCCCTTGACACACCAGGACGTAGACTTTCTCTTCCGGTAGCTTCTCTGCTGGCCCATGATACAGTGATCACCCTGCAGCAAGAACACTAGGATGAGGAACCAGCAGAGGATGGTGACAGCTACCACTGGCTTGTTCTGTTGCTCCTGCCCTGGTGGCAGCTGGGGTGGGGCATTTGCCCCCTTTGACAAACAGGGAAACTGAGGTCCAAAAGAACTTGACATGTCAGTCAGCTGGCCCAGCTTCCCTCATTTAAAGCCATATGACTGCCCCTTGGTGGTCATAGAACATCTGGACCTACAAGGGCCAGGTGTGTGACCATCTGGGGATGAGCCATGCCTAAAGGGCTTGTATAGACACACTGTAGATTCTTATGCTGCGCTTGGAGCAGTACTGCCCTGATCCCAATATCAGGGCCCCTTTGTAGTGATGAGGCAGGACTGTCAGGAACTCTATATGCTATAGTGAATCAGGTTCTAGAACGTTCCCTAGGCCCATCTTAGCACTCTCTTGTAAACCATTTTGAGCCACTGGCCAGACCATTCTCTATGTGTGAACTCTCAATGTTGGATCTCCACTTACAGAAATATCTGGCCCCTGGATGACTTCAACTACTGTCCCAGCTAGAGGCTCAGATTCCCCGACCTCAGGGGTCTCTCCTTAGGAATCTTCTAGCTTCTGATATAACTTGGCTAAAAACCCCAACTTGATTTAGTGGCACACAGCAGCCTGCTTACAGTCCTCAGGTACCCACCGGAGTGTCAGCTTCTCTTGTGCTACCAAAACCTGAGGGAGGGGGGTCTCATGTTCAACCCAAATGTGAAGGTTAGACACTGATGATGGATTGCAACATAGGGTGGTCCCAGACCCTGATGTCAGATAGTCTTTTCCCACAAGCAGAAAAGTCCCAAATCCTGTCATGGAGACCTCCTGGCTGAGGGTGGGGCTCAAGCCCTAAAGGTCCTAGGGTCATTAAAAACCATAGGTCAACCAGCTACAGGCACAAGGATGGCCCAGAAAATGTCTGGGAGGAAAGATGCCCAGAGGTTGATATCTGTGAGATTCCCTGGAGGAGGAAAGGGGCTGCAGGTTGCCTGGCCCACCTGGAGGTCAGTGAGGTCCCAGGAGCTATAGTCATTCTCGCCACACTGCCGGGGGAAAGAGGGCCGGAAGTCCACCTTGACCAGCTCCCAATCAGAGCGGAAGCTGATGTGGCCAAAGACCCTGAGGGTAGAAAGAAAGAAGATCACTTTAGATTGATCTGTCCCTGGTGTGCAGACATGCCCCTACTCAGGTTCCATCTACCACCACCTATGATACCTCTCTGTCCCAGATTCAGTGATGCTACATGCCCTCCACTGGCACCTGGCCTGATATTTATCATTTTCAGGGTGATTGCTGTCTGTGGCTTGCTGACTGCACCGGCACAGGTCATCCACCTAATCCATGAAATCCCCTACCTGACAGGAGCTGGCTCTCAGGAGGGTAGACTCCCTGCCTTCTTGGCTGCCACTGGCCCTTCCATAGCCTCACACACCAGGCCTTGCATTTGTTCTTTGTGGACCGGAGCCATGTCTAGGGTTATCTGGTGTCTCCCTGCCTTTCTGCTGACCTCCCCCTGTCTGCCATATGGGATTGGGCTCCGAGCTGTTTACCTCAGGCATGGCTGGTACTCTAGAGAGATAACAAGTCATTGTGTGGGTTGGACAGTTAGATGAATGGGTCATCGTGACAGCGCAGTGCATCCCACTGAGCAGAGAGAGGGAAAGAGGGAGACCGGACATACAGGAAGAACAGTGATGCATAGAGGCTAAGCATGTTCAGTTTTGTATGCTGAGACCAGCATTCCACACTGGCTTCTACTCCTCCCACCCAACTTTTCTGCAGACCGTGGGTGGCCTTGTCTCAGGGAACTGCCATTCAGATGGGCATTCCTCTTGTCATGGCCCCATGGCATCATCACCTTGACAAACAGCTGGAGCGGGGGTTCCATTTCTGTCCTCCCCTTTAGGGCTTACCATGTCCTGTGAGGGATACATGCTGATCACCCCAGACTTCTGAGAGGAAACAGACTAAGGAAGGGACACATCCAGGATGGCAATCCAGTAGTGGTTCCTGGGGCTGGCAGCTCACATTTGTGAGGCTTGGCTGGGACTCAACCAATTAGCCAGAGTGTGTCAGCTATGCAGCCCCCTATATAGGAACATCCCATACTCTGCATTCTGAACTCAAACAGAGAAGCAGGCTGGTCCGTCTAATCCACTCTGTGCATTTCAGTTCCTGTCTGTGAAGAAAACTCAGACCTCAGCTCCCACTGTGAGCATCTCTCATCTAGTTGAGCGGTCTTAGCAGGAAAGGCCAAAGAGCCATTGGCTGCTTGACAGAGAGCAGGGAACATGGACCATACTGTGGAGTGGACTGCTGGCTCCTCCATAGGTATGGCCTACAGCCCTGCCAGTCTGAGAGCCCTCATGGTACTGCCCAGGGCTGGGGAACCTCTGCCATGTACTGTGCTATGGGAGGCAACTGTGGGCAGTGCAGTGAACAGTGTCTGGACAAGGTGATTGTCCAGCTTAAATGTGATCTATAGGTGGATGGGGATAAAGGTGCCATATGGGAAGGGCCCTGGTCTAGGCTGGGACAGAAAAGCTTTTCATTCTGCCGGCCTGTGTCTCCTCCGAGGCGTGTGAATGATCTCCGTATCCACTGAAATTGAAAACTGTTTGAAGATGCAGCTTTGTGAAAAGCTCCATAGAAACCTCACAGAGCTTTTTAAAAACTTAAAACATGAATGCGCCTGCCTGTGAACTTTGCTGCTTTCCCCGGATGAAATGCCATCTGCAGGGATGAAAGCTTCATTTGGGACAGATCTGGATCTGAGGACCTTGGCTGCACAAAGCACTAATGGTCCAAAGCAGCCACCAAATGCAGACAACCAGATGAAGTGAGGGGAGAGGAGGAACGGGAGGTGCTTAGGGCGGAAAGTGACCCCATAGTGGGGCCTGGCTGCAGAAGCTGAGGCCCAGGAACCATGCCCGATAGCTGGAGCTCTGAGAGCTCTGTCAGACCTATCACCTTTGTGGCCAGCCCCTCTTTTTGCTTGTGGACTCAGCCCTGCAAACTGGCCAACCTCCATGCAAAAAGACAAAGGACCAGGCTGAGTCTGCCACAGCCCAAGGAGCCAGACTTCCTTACCTGCTTCTCTTGACAAACACCAAACACCATGTCTCTGACCTCCCCTCCTGCCTCAAGCCATGGCCTTCAAGGGGACTGCCCACAGACTGAGACATGAGCCTCCTCAGGGCCTTGGCAGGACCTGACCAGGAACAACCTGCCTACTCTCCAGGCAACCAGGTAGAGGGAGATCAAGACCAGCTCAGCCTTCCATGCCTGGCGCTCAGCTGCTCCAGGATGCACACATCACCTCTGTCCTGCAGTAGAGTCTGCTGGGGCTTTCCCCTAGCCACCCAGGAAGGAGGCTGTGAGGCCAGCACCACAGCGGGCTTCCTCATTGCAGCCTGACTGTGGGGGAGGGGCTCCATCTGCTCCTAGAAGAGGGGGTCATGCACATTCTGCAGGGATTCCATGGGGCTGTGGACAACACTCCCTGGGGCACTGGGATGCTCAGTGGGATTCCATAGACGTCATATATGCTCCATGGGGGTTTATATAGACACTTAACGGGACTCTGTGGGTTCTCCAGGGACCCTGAGACAGGAGAAGCATGCAGGCCACGTCCCCTCCCCAGCCTTTTTCCTGGCAGTCACTGGCCAGTGCAGACAGCAAATGCATCTGGGCCAACAGTCCTTGGTCCCTGGTAGGGATCAATTAGCCTGGCTATCTCTAACAGCCCTCCTTAGCTCCTGGCATTTGTGAGGTTGTTGGTGTATCCTTGTCACCCATATGTCTGCTGTTGTGTCTTTACTGAAAATTTGCTTACTGAGCTCTAACCACACATCAGGTGCTGCCCAACCAGGAACATTAGTGACATAGACTGAAGGACCCCCTCCTTGGGGTCTCAAGTCAGGCAAGCAAAACAACACTGGGCAGATCCCAGACAGGCACAAAGCTCTTGAAGGGAGTTGGAGCGAGGCCGCTGTCCTGGCAGGCAGGAGGAATGCATAGCTTTGCGACCCCTCATCTCATATGCCTGAAAGGGTGCGAGGCTTGCTTCATGTCCTCCTGCCCCACTCCTCTTCCATTCATTCCCAGTCAGAGGCTACCTCGGGGTGCAGAGACCAGGCACAGCCTGCCTGGGGTGGCTCTGACCTGTGTCTTCCCCCCACCTTCCTGTTTTGCCCATGTTCTGTCACTCACGTCATGACCAGTGTCTCGTCCCCTGGCTCGCTCAGCAGTCCATCCACGAACACTGATGTGCTGGTGAAGTTGTGTGTACTCCAAGTATGGCCCTCATCCACGCTGAACCTGTGAAAGGCCACCAGTATTCACAGAGCAGTGTGATCTTACCCCTTTCTATGACTCTCTACCCCCAGGCCTGACTCTTCTCCAACAGAGGCCAGCTCTGGGACCATTGCCACACCCAGGCCACAGCTGGACCACAGCCTCCCTCTCTCAGATGAGACCACAGCAGGTACTTCCAGAACCAGGTGGCATCCCTGACTAATTAGCAAGTTGATGGCCTGCTTCCCTAGACATATTGTTGGGATAACAAACAGGCACTGTTCCCTATGAATAGCAGGGACATCTGAGCCTTAGAAACATCCAGTAAGAGCATGCAAGGCTTGAGCCCAGCACAGGGTTCCTGGGTCAGTGACGTGACCAATATTACAGTGATGTTACCTCCCAGGGTATACAGTTCTTTTTCGGACTAAAGTGACACTGACTGCCTGGCAGTTTCCCAATTCTGCCTCCTAAATACCAATGTTATCCTGTCCTCAATTTAGCCCACTCCTACCTAGGCACCCACTGGCTCCGTTGTCTGCACACCCTGGCCTCAATCCTCTAATAACAGGTTCTTGTTGATACTTAGGGTGCCTCCCTGGAGTCTTCAGCCCTCAGCCCCCTTCATGTTCCCCTGACTAGCTTTTGTATTCTCTGTTCATCCCTGGGCACCTCAGGAGGGTTGGAAGGTATGAGTCATCCCTGTGTTAAGTTCCCAGGGAATTGTTCTGGAATGCTCAGTGCCCTCTGCCCATGATCTCACTTGAGGATCTTCAGGGGGATGGAGGTATCTTTGATGGCAGCAATGACACCGCCGTGGTCAAGGTAGAGGACATGGTGTTCTTCCTCGAAGACCTGTGGGGGTGATACATACTCTCAGGTGAGGCCCCAACAAGGCCAGCAGAGCCTGGTCAGGAAGGGATACCAGCTCTTTATTTAACACCCCCATATCCACTTATGACTTATCACATGAGGAATGAGTGGGGCTTGGGGGATGGTGGCAATTTATCTACCCAGGGGGATGGAGAAAACTATGGTGTGCACACTCAGAATCCCCCCCTCCCCCTGGGAACCCAGGTCAGCAAATGGCCCAGTAATGAGGGAAGCACAGTGTACTCAGAGCCAAGTTCAGGATGAACCCCAGACCAATGTGGGATGCAGTGACAGAGCCTGGCTCCTTGATACCTCTGAAACCAGGTGGATGTGGCCACCTCTGGCTCCCTGAAGTCCCAGCCTTACTAAACCTCAAGTGTCATCTTCCCTTCCAGTCAGGGAGCTACTGAGAGGCAGATGACTTTGAGCCCTCTGGGGCCATCTCAGTGGAGAACTGAGCTGGGTACCTGGGACTCTGGCAAGTTGATGAATACATGAATAAATGGCTACCATATGGATGAATTAATGAATGGATGCTCTGAGGATAAATGAATGAATGACCACTGAGGGTTTTGGGGAATGGCAGAGGTATCTTGACAGGGGCTACCTAGGAGGGACAACTCTGTCAGCCACAGCCATCTGCTGATATCCTGGGGCAAACACCGACTCACATACAGGAAGCTGGACTCACAGCAGTAAGGTTATGCCAAGGTCTCACAGCCAGGAGTGACAGAGCCAGGTGAGGCCCTCAGTCACTCCAGGACACTAGACCTTGTGAGCCCTTCAGTGTCTTGGCACAAATGGACTACATAGCATGTCCCCAGACACTGTGAGTAAGGACCCGGCTGCCTGGTCACATCTCCTTCCCTCTCCTCTAGGCAGTGGTTCCATCCCTCCTGGTATGGGCACGGGAAGTGCCTGGGCTCAGGAGGTTAGAGAAGAATCTAATTGTTAGCTGTCACTCAAGACCGCAGTGGGCTAGCCCCCTGTAAATGCTTCCATCTGCATCAAGGTGACATGGGCCAGGAAAGAAATGAGGTACATGGTGAAGCATGCTGGAGGGATGGGCACAGTCCAAGCTAGGTAAGGCAAGAGAAAGGGCCAAAATGCTGTTCTCAGATGGGTGTGGCCTACACTAGCCCTAGCTGGAGTGGGAACGGTCTTGACTTCAGGAAACTAGGCACAGCAGTAACCTGGTCGGAGACAATATAAGGAAAATTGCTAAGGAAGCCTCAGACAGTGACACACTGGCTCCCTGTTACCTTAAGCAGCCCCTGGGGTGCAGAGCTGGGAGGCGACACAGACCTATGCCTGGCTCGGCTTTTCTCTGTTCCACTCAGAGGCCTAGCAGGTCTTAGAATGTTGTTAGCGAGGTCCTTGGTTATTCCAGGGGGCTCACGGTCTTTGTTATCCAGGCTTTGAGACAAGATCTTGCTCTGCAAACCAGGTGGGCCTTGAACCCACACAAGAATCTCCTCCCTCTGCCTTGCAGATGCTGGGGTTATGATGAGCACCACCAGTCCTGGCTGTTGACTCCTGGCTTAAAGCTTATGTCACTTCAGGAATGCTCTGCCCTTTGGCCTATCTCCATCTGTCAGTGCCTCTCTGGACAAGGAAGAAGCACCACAGCAGCCCTGGAGTGCCCCACTGGTCTGGGGCACTCCGACCAGTGCCTGGAGTTGTTGATAACTCAGCCCTTTTCCCAATTACATCCCTGACTATAACTGCCTACAACCACTATATGCATCTGTTTTTCCCTGGCACACAGATGCGTGTGCACACATGTGCACACAGGTGCGGCCCCATCAGGCATCTCACCTGCGAAGCTTTCTTTCCCCTGGCAGGGAAGCCCACCCTGTAACATTCGTCTCTAGGCTTCCAAGTGTAACCTAAGTGAACTGTTTCACAAAAATGACTCCTCAAATGTCTAAAATGTCTATGAGTGAGAAAGTCTTTCAGTGCTGCCATTGGTGAAGGTGGACAGACGGCGACCTTTAAGAACCTTCGAGAGGCTTCACTGGTTTTGGCAAAATAGAAATATTTAATGCAATAAATCTCTCGTGCCCTTTTGAAGATGCCTTGCTTGATGCATCTTATTAAAACAGCAGCAGCCTCAGTGCTCGGAGCAGGTGAGCTCTGTATGCAGGGATGAGCGTTTGATGCCTGCCAGGGATGTGTCTGCATGGCCAGGCATGGGGGAGATGACCCAGGAATAGGACTGTCTACAGGCAGTTGGGCTTTGATGCTCAGGTCATCTTACAGCTGAATCACCTCTCTGGGAAGTTGGTAAACCAACTCAGCCAGGACCCCACCCACCCCAGAAGGCAACCAGTGTCTGTCTCACAGGGCAGGGCTCTCCAGGGGGGTGGATACATGCAGCTTCTATGTGTCATGGGCTCTGTGGGGGCTGCCAGCCCTCCCGTCAGTGTCCTCACTGTTCCTGTGCTAAGGGCTGATGGTGGCCAGTATCCCTCTAACCAGTGGCCATGGCATCCTGTGGAGTTGTAAGTCGGAGATGCTCAGGATACTGCTGTGAGGGGATGGCTCCCACAGGCAGGCTCTCCTCATTTTCTTTCCTTCCTTTGCTATCTTGCACCCCCCCATTACAGCAACACATGGGACGTCCCCCAGGATCCTAAATTTGCCCTTCCCACATCCTCTTCTTTCATTTATATGTCCACTGTCTCTGCCTCTTGGCCTGAAGGAGCTTGAAGCCAAGTAGGAGGTGTTCATGTGGCTTTCAGTCCCCTTTCCCAGATGTCCTCAGGGGCACATCTGGGTGGGAAGTGCTTCTAGGATGTATAATACCCTGCAGAATCCACAAGGCATTGGGCAGATGGTCCCACTCCAACTGGTCCCATCCCTGTCTGGCCCCACTCCCGACAGGTCCCAGCCCTCAGCAGAGGCCTCAGCTGCTTCTGGAGCCCAGAGGCTGGTAGTCAAGTACAGACACCTGGCTCCAGACTCTAGAGAGCCCCTATGAAAGGAGGGGCACAGAACAGATAGAGTCCTGGAGGCCTGAAGAATACCAGGTACTATTGTCACCTTACCTGCCGCCAGGTGTGGCCACAGTCAGAAGTGATGTACATTTCCTCTTTATACTCCACCAGCTGCGAGCCCAGGTTACCTGACCCAACAGAAAAGGTTGTGTTGCTCTAAGACCAGGCAGATCCAGGTGATCAAGGTCTGAAGGTCCCCAGAAGAGGAAGGCCTGTATTTCTACCATGGTCACCTATAGCAGGCCTTGGTTGCCTTCCTTTTCAGGCAGTGGCCCTGGTGTGGCTGTTAGACTCTAGCTGGTCCCCTCTGGGGAGAAAGAGCTCAACCCAGCTGAGCCCAGTGCAAGGGCTCCAGCCTCAGCTCCAAAGTGAACAGACTCAAGTGCTTAAGAATGCCCTCAGATGTTAATTGAGGGTAAAATGTGTGATGATGGGTCAGGGTCAGGCCGAAGGACATGAGCAGTTGGGGCAGCATGGGCTTGTGGATCCTGAGAGATGAGAGGACTTCATGAGTATTTGGGGAAAGTATCCTGGAGGCCATGTTCATGGGAGGCCAGAATGAGTCTGGGTAAAATGCAAGCACACAGCAGATGCACATTCAATTCCTGTGGAGGGTGATGAAACAGGCAACAAGGGCTGAGCCCTAGCCTGGGTCATCTACAGGTAGACAGCATCCCATCCAAGATGTAGGCCAGCCCCGCCCAGAGCAGCTACCTCTTGTGGGTTGCTATGGAAGGGATGGAGGTTTCAAGTGTAGCCCTGTAGATTCACAGCATGGGACACACAATGGCTTCATAAACTGGGCCTGATTTCCCCAGAATTCTACCATGGCCTGGAGCATAGGAGCTTTCTGATGAGACAGCTGGCTGCATCAGGACAGACCGTCATCTACCTGCCTGCCCACCTCTCCATCCAACCCATCTATTCAACTACCCATTTACCTACAAATCTATCTATCCATCCATCCACTCATTTATCTACCCACTTATACATTCACCATCCAGCTATATGCCCATCCATCCATGAACTCATCCACTCACCTATCTAGCCCTCCATCCATCCATCCCACATTCACCATTAGGAATTCCAGGGAACTCCTGTCTCCTGAGAGCAGATACTCTGCCTCTAATGGACACACCATGGCCCTAGGCTCATGGCCTTCAGTCCCCATCCACAAGATAGGAGCTTCCCTCAGGCCGTAAAGGCTGCTGTAGCTACCCACCTGCACCCATGATGAGGCCAGGGGCAGTGTCCTTGGTGTGTACTGTGCCCGACACATAGGGGTTGTCTGCCCAGCGCAGGTGTAAGTGCAGATGGCAGTCCGGCTGGGGAGAAAAAAAGGAAGAATGATTAGCACATGGGAGTATCCTAGGAGAATGAGTTCTCTGGTCAGATCTGCCCCATGGTCTTTGTCAGTGAAAGCTGGGTAGGGGTGCCTTTGAAAGAATGAACAGAGGGTGAGAAGCTGTGCTCAACTGACTGCTGGGTGTTGGTAGCAAAGGATGAGGAAGGCTGCAGCAGGAGTTACCTAGGGCCTAGGGAACCAAGGAGTGGAGAAGGGGCCAACCAGACACTGTCTGTTGGAGAACAGAGACTTGAGGTCTGAGAGAGGGCCTTTAGGTAGCTGCAACTTCTCCAAGGGAGGGGCCTTGTGGCCTGGATTCCCCTCATGTAGGATGGGCTTCCCTACATGGGTCACTGGGTCAAAGAATGTGTGTGATTCCTGGGGCTTATGCAGCCCCAGTTCTCATTTATTTATTTACTTATTCATCCATCCATCCATCCATCCATTCATCCATTCAGAACCTTTACTTGGCACCTTGGCTTGAGGCCTAATTCCTAGGCTTCCCATAGTCCTGGCCTGTCATGTCTGCCTAGGCTCTGCATGGGCCAAAGGTGGAAGGTCCTCTGAAGCTGCCCAGAGAGGGACCAGGACATAGAGGCAAGCAGGACCACCAAGGAACTTGTACAGAAAGCCCAGATAAGGTGGCCAGCATGTGAGCTATCCATTGCTGGCCCTCTCATATGTGGGAGCTGGCAGATCCTCTAGAATTGCCCAGCAGCTCAAATCATGGATCATTGGATAGACAGAGGGGAGCAGCTGGCTCAAACCCAGCTCTGTCTAGAAGGATTTCTGACATACACAGGTTTCTGTGGGCTTCCATTCTGAATCCCAGATGCCAATAGACTCAAACCCATTGCCCAGGTGAAATTCATCCAGTTAGAAGAGATCTGATCGGGGATGGGGAGATAGCTCAGTGGGTAGAGTGCTTGCTGTGCAAGTATGAGGACCTGAGTTTGATCCCCGGCATGCTCATGAAAGCTAGGCACAGTTGCATGGACCTGAAGCCCTAGTACATGGGGATGAGGGTGGAGACAGATGGATCCTAGGGATTTGCTGGCCAGCTGGTCTAACCAATTGCTGACCTCCATGTTTAGTGGAGGGACACCCCACCCCCAATGTCTCAAAACATAAGGCTGACAACAATAGAGGAAGACATGCCATTAGCTTCTGGTTTTGACATGTGCTCACATAAATATATACTCATATGCACATATACACAATACACACACACACACACACACACACACACACACACACACACACACACACATATATACATTTTTTTCTCCATAGCTGGAAGGAGACATCCCCCATCAAGCCAGTCAGAGAACTCAGAGCCAACACATGACCAAAATTAATAGGAGAAAGGCAGCAGAGAATTGCCATCAGCCTGTCCCTGGCTCAAGGACAGTATCAACAAATGCACTAAGACAATGACAAAGACAAAGCCTCCTGGCAGACCTTTCATCCCTGAAATCCCAGGAACCTTGTCACTGCTGTCTGAACTAACTGTAATCCACAAGTGTCTGAGAGAATGACATTGTCAGGCTTAAAGGCCTAGGCTTGGTCACCTGTCAGTCTATGTTGTCCCATTCTGGATGGAGGCCTCAGTCATTCAAGTAGGAACCAGGGCTTCGGACTGTCATTGATGTGTCTGTGGTCCCTTGGCTTCCAGGCACTTTGCTTTGGTCTTCAGTGCAATCTCTGTCTGCCTGGGCCACTTGGCTGCTTTCTCCTCCTGCCAGCATCCTTGCAACACTCCTACCCACCCCCTGGACACAAATCTCACAGAGGCTGCCTCCTCACTGAGCTGAGTAATTGCAGACAAGAACCTTCTCTTGGCTTGAAGTTGCTTTGTCAGATTAATGTGGCTTAAGTTCCCCAAAGATGATACGAAAATTAGCCTTTCATAGCATCTTTGAACCCTAAAGGGTTTTTACAAGTGGCAGATAATTCATTCCTCATGCAGGTAGACAGGGGTCGTGAACCTTCCGCATCTACAATGGGGCCTCAAGAGGAGGTCTGAGAGTGGAGTGGAATAGAGAACTCAGGACAGAGTGCCCATCCCTGCCCAGGCAAAGATCCTCTTTAGGGCAGCTCATACTCAGTGGCCACCTGGTGGCTATGGAAAAAATGCTACCTTTAGGGGAACCTGTCACTATATATGCTTCCTCTATCACTCCCCAGCCCTCAGTGATATTCAGCAATGCTCAGAAGCAGGCTTAGAAGACTCTGCTTTACTGTCCCTTGGACCTCTGCTAGCACCATGGGTTCACAACAGTACAAGCCTGGCAGGGCATGCAGATATGGACAGCAGACATCAACCTGAGTCAATGGCTCCCTGGCCTGGAGCCACCTGGAGAAGTCCTGTGGAGCTGAGAGTGAGTGAGTGACTGGGGTTTGGGGTAAGTTTCTCACTGTAATTTCATGGAGATGAATGGCATTCATGATTCTCACTGTGTGCATCCCTATGCCTAGCAGAAACTGGTGGCTTGTGTGTCTCAGGTGTACCCTGGCAGTGGCATCTGTGCCACTCTCTTGGAGGCATGTAACAGGGTAGAGTACCTACCGGCTGACAGTTGGTGGGCTTCCCATTCATGTCGGTGCTGGGTGGCCTCAGGTAATCCCAATCACGGCCCTTGTTGTAGGTTATGAGTGTTGTCACCTTGCCATCCACTTTCTGGTTTGCCAAGAAGACTCCTTTCACCCCTCTGACCTGAGGAGACATAAGAAGAACCCATAAGGTTTCACACAGATCACCTAGAGCATCAATAGCCAGGCATTGCCCCTACTGAGCATCCTGCATGTGGCTTTGCCTCATCCTGGATGCAACCTGACACATGGAGACTGGTAGCAGGCTTAGATGGAAGAGTTCTGTCTGCGCTCCAGGGTCAGGGGATTTATAGGACACTGAACTGTTTACCCAGGACCTCTGACCATCAGATGGCAGGAAGGGCCCTGGTACCTTCACCAACTAGTGTATCTGATGAAAGGAACCCCCTTCACCACCTCCACTCTGGATCTCAGGGTTCCTCATTTGCTGTGTCTGTTAGAACTGTGGGCAGGTCCTATGCCACAGCAAACACTCCTTGGTTTTTCTTGGGGCCTCAACAGCCCACCTGACAACAATGGGGAAGTCCCCGTTTATCCTGACATGCATTGGCAGGACTACACTCGGTTTTCATTTCTCTTTCTCAAGGGGTCTTATGAGGTCTCAGCAACATCCAAGGTTGTCCACTGAGTTGATTCATAAGAAAGCCCAAGAGTCAGCCATTTCATCACATTAAACCCAGTGGTGCCCTTGAAGGAACACCCTATTCTTCAAGCCACTTTTTGACAAAGTCACATTCACTGAGCACTTCTAGGGTGGTGTGACAGGTACAAGAATGCTCCTTCATCCAAGACTCACAGCAGAGGTTTCTCCACTTCTCCTGATATAGCATGGTGTTGCTACTCTCAAAGATCCTCTAGGGACTGGGCTCAGACTACTGTGCATTTTACTCAAAACTTTAGAGCCAAGGATTATAATCAGACTGACACAGCTACCAAGGTCATCGGTGCTCTCTACACACAGGCACTGAGCTTAGCACACGTCATCTCTTTTGAATCTGAAAAGTCAGTGCAGTTATTCTTCATGTGCTTGTTTGCAGGTGGACAGTCCACCAGAGATGTGCTGCTACAGATGCAGGAACAAGAGAGGGATGGGTAGGTAGATGGACAGGTAGATTGGATGAAACACAGATGGAAAGAGGTGGGTGAATGAATAGGCAGATGGCTAAGTAGATCAATGGATGAATGAATGGATAGGTGGATTGATTGATGGATGGATGGGTGGTTGGGTAGAGGAATGGATGAAGGGTTGGATAGGTGGATGGACTGGTGGACAAGTTGATGGATGGACGGGTAGACAGGTAGATGAATGAGTAGATGGACTGATGTGTAGATGGGTGGTAGGATCATGTATGAATGGATGAGTAGATAGGTAAATGGATGGATGAGGATGAGTAGATGAATAGGTTGAATTATGAATGAGAGGATGTGTTAGGGGATGAGTGGATTGATGGATGGATGGGTGGATGGATGGTTGGTTGGGAGCATGAGTAGATGAATGAGTGGCTGGACTAATGGGTAGATAATGGATGAATGGATGGATGGTCAAGGAGATGAGTAGATGGGCAGACGAATGAGCAGATGAATGAGTGGATGGGTGGCTATGTGGATGAATGGATGAGTATATGAGTAGATGGTTAGTTGGGTAGATGAGTGGACTGATGGATAGATGAATGGATGGGTGGATTAGTAGACAGAGGGATGGTATCTCTACTTGCTATAGGTGCTACAACATCACAAACTTATTACTCCAAACAATGCACTTCTCATCTACGGCTGTGGTGGTCAGAGCTCTGACCTGAGTCTCTAATTCGTTGTCAGGTGTGTGCTCCTCTCTAGAGGCTGTAAGGAGGAATCCGTTTCTCATTGAGCCTTTGGCTCCTGGAGTTTTTCCTTCATCTTTGAAGCCAGCAATGCATAGTTTCTGGCTACCATCATAACTTGCATTTGTTAGGCCCTAACTGCTTTCCTGTTCCACTTTCAAGGACTCTGTAACAAGGTTCTGTAGACAGTGTATAACAACACTGTCTCTAGAGTAGCAGCCTCAAGCTCGCCTGTAGCCTTGGCTCCCCTATGCCAGGTGGTGTGACACACACACACATGGGTTTGGGGGATCAGGAAAGAGATAGATGGCTGGGTGAGCCTCATTCTGTTTAGTAAGTGCCTCATTTGATCTCCATGGACACACATGGGTCTGTCGTGTGAAACACATTCACCCATTTGAAAGTCTGAAGTTTTCCTCTTATTGTAGCATCAGTATAAGTTAAAAAATAATAAAAATCCCTGTCGAAATTTCATCAGCTCAAATACTGCAAATCTTATTGAATAGGTATAATTATATAAATGGGCCTATAAAATCAAAAGTGAGTTACCTGCTTCTGAACCATAATGTGAGCCCAACTGTGATTATGAAGGACACCCCAGTTAAAAATAGAGAATGAGAAGCAAAAACAGAAGCCCCATTGCCAAGCCCCTTGCCATCCAGCAGGGAGCACCCTCTGGTGCCACAGGTGGCAATAACTGCTTGTGGCCAGGGCTCTGCTCTCTGATGGCCTTCCCAGTTCAGGATGCCAGCCCAGCAGTTTTCTGAGTCTGTAGAACCTTGGTCCACGCCCTTCTGCTATGCATCCTTCTGTCTTTCTGCAGTTAGCACATTTTCAGGACCTCGGTGTCTGTCCTGCCAACATTGTCTGGACTTGCAGCACTGGACTCTCCATTCCCCCACCAAGGCAAACACATATCTGGAAGCACTTTAGAGGACCTCCTGTGACATGCCACATGACCACATGATCCACAAAGTGAGGCGATTTGGCCTGTGACACCCGGAGTACTCTTCCTAACTCTAACATAGACAACAACTCAGAAAAGTTCTGTTAAATCCAATAGGACCCGAGGAAGCCACACAACCAGGAGATGCACAGACCAGCAGAAATACCCTGAGATGCAACAGCAGAGATCCTGGACATGCTGCTGGCTTCCTAGTGACCACAATAGCAACAATACTGGCCACATACAGGAGATTCACATGCTAGCTGCCAAGTCAAACCCTTCCCATCCACCATCCTTAATCCCAGAGTAGGTGGTACTGGGAACATGAAGTCTTGCTGGACTGGGCCCTGCTGTTTTCCTAAGGAAAGCATCCCTGAATCCTTGCAGTAGCCCTAAAAGAGAGCATTGCTAGCTTCAACAGAGTGTTTGTTGAAACCAAGCCAGACAGGTTAAGTAACCTTCCCAGGACAGCATAGCCCAGCACAGCAGACACATACCAGAGCCTAGATAGGAGCCCAGGTAATTCAGGACCAGAGCTGAGCCTGACACTACCCACACGGGGTGAGGTTAGAGAGGATAAGTCACTTTGGAGGCACCAGTGGGTGGGCAGTGGATGCTGTCTTTGCAACTGCTTCATGCCCTCAGCTCACTACTTCCCTGCCTAGCTGACTCCTGCTCTGCCTCATCTCAATGCTGCAACCCACTTTTTCCAGGAGGCTCATCCTGACTTGTCAAAAGGCATTGCACCATGAACCACTGGCAGCATGGGCTTAAGGACACTGCCAGGGACAACTTCTTCATGGGGGCAGGGGTCTTGAGGGAGGTAGCATGTGAGGAATCCTTGCCGGTGACTGAAGATAAAACCCCAAGCCTGGCAGGTAGTGTGTATCTGACAGATCTGTGGAGAGTGTAGACAGCAACTCCCCCTGTCAGGCCTGTACATGTCACCCTCCCATCTATCACTGCTCACCTTGGCCTGGGACCATAGCCCTGCCTGAGTGTTCCAGTGCTCAGATGTCGCCAGAGATATCCTGAGAACTAGGAGAGGGCTGCAGGACAGCCCTGTCCCTCAGCGGCCCCAGCTGGGAGGTAGCACTGACAAATGGGCTTTCCTCACAAACAAATGATTTGCATTCATCATTTTGCTGGGAATAATGGTTCCACGATGCTGCTGACAGCTGGAGACACATTGAAGTTCCCTCCACCTGGGAGGTCCCCTCCCAATCACAGGGACAAAGTCCATTGCCTGCCAAGAGCTACCCTCTGAGCCAGACTCACTATCCAACAGAAGCATCAGCAGGCCTCCTGTGGCTGTCTCCTTCTGAGCATGGGATAAATAATACTGTCACCCCTGGCCATAGAGTCTACAAGAGAAAAGAGATGATTGTCCAGGCCAGACCCATGTCAGGTGCCTAATGGAATTTTTGTGGATTGGACCCGAGGACCAGGCCACTCTCAGCAGTGGAGAGCATTGGTGTGGATTCCAGAAGCTTGGATCAGTGCCTTGGCATGAGTGGAAACCCATGGAAACTTGTATGGGACCAGACAAGGCCAGAACCCCTGCCTTCTCATTTCAGGTAGGTAGGGGGAGAGGCCATGTCACAGAAGGTCAGGTTGGACAATGTATGTGGAAGGGTAGGACTAGCAGGAGAGGTGGCATAGAAGTGACAGACTCCAGCCCTCAAGATGGGTAGAGGAAGGAGGAGTCATGGGCAGGAGAAGAGGAACAGTAGAGAGCCTCTCCCAGCTCCCGGAGATCCGACTGCTTAGACCACATTGGCTGTGGCCACCTTTGCACAGGGAAAGTCTTGCACGCTAAAAGACTGAGCCCACTTCTGCAAGATGTTACCCACCAGGAATTTAGTTTTTGTTAGCATAAACTGTTCCTACGAACCTCATTAGAAAACCAGCTTCCCTCTGTCTTAAGCCCCTGTGATTCAGCCTCTGTGGCACTAAAGCCTGAAACATCTGGTGCTTTGCAGGTATCTGTAACCCCTGGGCCAGGAAGAAGGAAGTGAAGCCCTTCCTGGTGCCTACCTCAAGGATGTCGATGACCACGTTCTCCTCAGCCTGCCTCGAGCTGCGCACATTCTCCAGCACCAGTGAGTAGCGCACTCCTCGCAGGTCTGATTGGTACAGGTTGTAGGTGTCCACCTGGTTCCACTCCTGTACGGCCACGAACACTTGCTGCTCATCCGTGCTGATGATCTGCAAGTCCTGGGGACCAAAGAACTGTCAGAGACAGTTGTCTGGAGCACAGGCACCTCCTCCCTGCTGTCCTGGAGGCAGGCTGATCCAGAGGCAGGCTGATCAGGGCTCCATCCCAGTAAGTCATGCTTAGCTCTGTGGTCTTATTTCCAAGTGATTTCCAAGTGATTTCACCTCCATGGATATCAATGTCACACCTCTAAACTGGGAGTGATGTTTCGACGCCTGACACCAAGTTAGGGGTAGCCTGGGGATGCCTCCTTTTCCCATCCCCACTGGATATTGTCCATCTCCCTACAATGAAGATGGGCTCCCTTAAGTATCCTACATGGTCAGAATGAAAGGCAGGCATAGATAGGACTAGGCTTCTGGGAGTCAAGCGGTCCTTCCTTTGTCTAGCACCTATTCATGACATTGCCTTTCAGGCTTGCTGCCAATCCTACCTCTGCCCTGAACTTCAGAAAGGGAGAAGCTGCCTGGACAGTCAGAGCATGGTGCCCCACAAGCTCCACTTGTCCACCTTCCTCTGTACCCAGCCCTCAGCACCACGGGACAAAATGTGCTAGAAGAACAGCAGTCCAGGCAATAGCTCCAGGCCTCAGTTTCCCCTTGTGGGCTAGGCACAGACCTTCAGAATCTGTTAATAGCTGTACAATTCAAGAAAAAAGCCCCATCCTGTGAAAGGCAAAACTGGGCTGACCTCTGCTCCTTGTTTTCCCTGTTGGCCAGGTCCCATGTGGACTGCCCAAAGAAGCTGCAACCAGGGAAGCTGCGGCTGGGGAGGTTATGCCTAAGGACTGAAACACCTCCACCTCACAGCTGGACAGACTTCACTCTGCATCCTCTATGCATGCTTTGCTTTCTACCCTCTGAAACTCACCAGCCCCCTGACACAGGTTACAGGAGCTGAAGATGGATGTAGGGTGTGAGGTGCCCTCACATGAAGACATCCCTCCCCCTCATCCTCATGCCCTGTTGGGTGTGCTCACTTTGGGGAAGTGATTTTTATTTGTGTCTGCTTAATGAGGGGCTCCCCAGAATCTTGGGTGCTGGCACCCGGTTCTTCCCCTCACTGACAGACTAGTCTCTATGCCGTGTGTCCACAAGGGCATTTCTGAGCCGGGCATGGCAGTGCACCCAGGAGGCTGAGGTAGGAGAATCATGAATTTGAGCCTAGCTTGGACTATGTAGCAAGGGCCTTAAGAAATGCAGAGGGATTTTGCAGAAAAGGGGTTCAGTATGTGAAGCCCCTATCATGTACCTCACAGCTGGAGGGCCCCATAGGCACAGGATCTGAGCCCTGTGTCTACAAACATACACTGGAACCAAGAGATGTGTGACCCAGGAAGGAGTCCGTGGGACCCAGTCCCATATATGACATGGACCAGCACAGCGATGGAAGTCTGTGGGATGCCTGTGGGAACATCGTGGTTAACACCCATGTGCCCACCCCAGTCTCTGAGCTGTGGGTAGGAGGCAGGATGTGCTGCTTTTGGCTGCTGGCCACTTTGCTGCCCTCCAGGGAGGTTGTACCCATCAGTTAGGGCCATGGTGTATAAACAGATCCACCAGAACCGGGTGGAAAGTGAGGGAGGGTCTTTCCCACAAGAAGGCTCGGCAGGAGTGAGCTTATGGGAGCAAGCACAGAGAGCCAGCACACCAGCACAGATGAGTGCAGTAATTCAGGTGGCAGTCCTGATCCAACACTACTTTCATAAGCTGGTTAGGTGTCCTGGACAAATGCTTCTATAAGCTATGAAGCAGCTTGGGGCCGTCCACAGTGCCCCTCTAGAGAGACCTGGAATTAACACTTCAACATGTTTATGTTCAGGCTCTGTCCCAAGCATGATTCACGCACTCTCCACGTCTGGTTTATAGCTTGCTCTGCACACTGCGTGGGTGTCTCTTCCTCTGCCATGAATGTTATTTATAAACACCACTGTTAATGACTGCATGATACGCATTTGTGGCCCAGCCATATTTCACTGAGTCCTGCCTCTGCTCCAGAGGACCAGAGGAGATGTTTCCAGACACAGGTCCCTCCCTGCCTCTATGCTTGTTTCCTTCCCATAAATTCTAAGAAGGGAGGTTGCCACAGCAGAGGCAGGGAATGTCTCTAGAATGCTTGTTGTATGCTGTAAACCTGCTGTTGTGATGTTCAGATTGGCTCCTTCCACAGCAGGCTGCTTATTATGTCCCTTCCCATGGGCCAGCACTGAGAGAGGTCACACAAAAGCCTCGATGATTAGTGTGACAAATACTTTGCACCATCATAAGATTCTGTTTACTTTCCTTACTCTCCATTTGTAGAGAAGCAACTAAAAAATCCCTTAACTCCATTGTTAATAGATGCACAGAACCTTCATGAGTGTATCTATGTTGCCACATGTGGCCTGGAAAGATCTATAGAAGGGAAGCACTAATTGGATAATATTTCTTACTTTTCAAGGGGGTTTAGGAGGCTTCAAGAAGATTGGACTCATCCCTCTTGCCTGTGAGAGAAGCCCAGTGATGGGCAGGCTAGTGTAGAAGCCCTACAAAGCCACCAAGGACAGGGGTTCTTCTGGGTCATTCTATGGTCCCATAATATGGTGTTTGTCTTCAGGGCTCAAGAGTTGGAGTTCCATCATCACACTAAAGGCAACAGGAAGGGGGAAGAGAGAGAGAAGGCTGGACTTCCATACAGTGTTCCCAGAAGTCTCACAAGGAAACTTCTTTAATATCTCATTGACAGATGGTAATCATGTGGCCACCTGTAGATGCAGAGGAAGACAGGAAATGCAGCCTTTTCCCTGGGTAGCCCAGCTGCAGCTAGACTATTAAGTTGGCTAAACTAAGATAAAGGGTAAGATGGACACTGAGAACTCGCCAAGAACTTCTCCATATCATTATATTGAGGCAAAGAGATGAAAAATGGAGGAAGGAATGGGCAAGCAGATGGAAGTGATATGTGTGTGACTCATATCATTTATATGTTTGTGTACAGGCTCATATACAAATTAAAACTTACGCTATAATTATAAACTATGTATAAATTATAACATAACATATATATGTGGATAAATTTTTATAACATTTTAATAAGCACAATGGCAGAAATTTCTCATGGATCTTCATATAGAATCTCAGCAGAAATTTCCATTATTTTTATGTGTATGTGTGTCTGTGTGCATACGTCATTCATTGGGGCCAGGATAGGAAGTCAGATCCCCCAGTGCTAGGGTTACAGGAGGTTGTGAGTTGCCCAATACAGGTGCTGGGAATCAAACTCTGGCTCTCTGCAAAAGCAGCAAGTGCTCGTAACTGCTGAGCCACCTCTGCAGCCACAGAATAGATTAGTATATGAAATTCACGAGGCAATCCCATGAGCCAGCACTTGTTTTTTCGAGACTGGGTTTCCCTGTGTAGCTTTGAAGCTTGTTCTGGAACTAGCTCTTGTAGACCAGGCTGGTTTCTAACTCACAGAGATCTGCCTGTCTGCCTCCCAAGTGCTGGGACTAAAGGTGTGCACCACCACTGCCTGTCTCCTCCTTTGGTGTGTGTGTGTGTGTGTGTGTGTGTGTGTGTGTGTGTGTTTTGGCTCCCTGTCTTTTGGCGCTGGGGCTTCCAGTAAGAAATCTGCAGAGGGAATCTCTGCCTATTTCAAAGCATATCTCTCGTGCTACTTTCCAGACTCCCCTCTTCATCATGATGATTGTGATGCATCCTGGCGTGTGCCTTTGTCTTGGGACTGGCCAATCTTTGAAATATTCACAATTATGTGTTTTGTGATTCTGGGGGTAGGGAGTCACTGTTTCTTAAATCAGTCTCTCTCTGGCCCTGTTCCCTTGTCTGTTTAGGATTCTCAGTGTATGTGCTGCTCTGATGATGGTGTCAAAGGGCCACATAATTGCTCACTTCCACTATCCTCTCTTCAGGTTCCTTGATTTGTTCTTTGCCTGCCCAAGTCTGCTTTGGAGTCCTTCTGGAGGACTTCCTTGCTTATTATTTTTCTTATTTCTTTCTAATTAAAGTTCTAGGGTTTCTATTCTGGCATTCTTAACATTTCCTATCTCTTCCTGGACATTTCTTTTGTGCATAGTGTCCTCCTGCTGTCCCTGAGCATCTTGGGACAATTCTATTAGTTTATCCAGCAGGTCGACCAGCTGGCCTTTCTTAGGCATAATTTCAGTTCTGAGCAGATCATGTTTTCCTGTTTTTCCGTGTGCCTTGTGATTTTTGATAACTGAAACTGGAATTTTCTGTGTGTGTGTGTGTGTGTGTGTGTGTGTGTGTGTGTGTGTGTGTGTTTTGGATTTTTTTAAAGGTCTAACTTTTCAGCCCATGCCAGCCTCAAATTCATGATCCCCCTGCCTCAGCCTCCCAATTGCTAGGATTATAGAGCATGTCCCATCATGCCCACCTAAAACTGGATATTTGAATGTATGATATACTAATTGCAAATTCAAATGTCTCCTTTCTGCAGAGACTGTCTTGTTTTTGCCTCTGATCACCAAAGGCCCTGTCTATACTGAGGCCCAGACCATCATGTGTGGGGCATGGTGACTTTATGTCTCTCCCCTATATGTTTAGATATGCTGGTCCTTAAAAGTCTGCCCCCCGAAGAAGGAAAAAGGCAAAAAAGGAGATGGATGGGCTCTGGCCCTACTTCATCTGGTGATGGCTGTTGACATCAGAGCACAGGCCTCCCAGTGTCTGGAGGAAAGGCCCATAGTGTCCACTCTGGCCATGCAGGCTACTTGACAGCTGCTCCAGGAAAGCACACGTTTGCCTGCTGTGAGGCAAGGGCAGACATGGATAATGTTCCTAGGTCAAAAGCTTAAACTGTCAAAACTGACCTTGCTATATCATCTGATGCCTGGACACTAGAGACATTATAACAGACCACAGAGTCCCAGAATAGTCATGAGCCTATACTCTGCTGTGTGGCTGTTGCCAAGAGGGAGGGTGGAAAAGGTCCTGGGGCTTGCACTCAGTCATCCTTGCCAGCATCACTCTCTCCTCTATTATGTGTGATATGCATTTTATTTTACTTTAAATAAATCCATTACAAATACAAGATGACTTTTTTCTTTCAAATAAATTTATATTCACCTTATGCTCATGAATGCTCTTTATGTAATTTGTGGTTCTGTGGATGCTTCTCGTGAGCATTTTTCTCTGCTAGGGAGCTTCAGGGCTTTTAAAACAGGCATTACAAGTCTACCAGTCAACAATTCAAACTGAGGATGCTGACTCTTCCCAACAGCTGTCCACCCTTCAGAGAGTCCAGGAGTGGGTGGAACAAAATGGCAGAATGGCATCATTTACCCCTTAGACACGGAACAGGAGAGGCAAGGTACAATACAGAACCAGGCCACCCTGTGCTGAGCATGATCTAACTCTGTGGGATGGGATTCTACTAAGATGGGATTCTACTAAGACTGTGTGTTCAGTCCATTTCCTGAAAATATTATCAGTGAACTCCCACAGTGTAGAGGGTGCACTTAGAGGGGCACCCACATGTCTGGTCTAGAGACTGGCTGTGGCTGAGTAGACTTCTCTTCGCTCAAAGCCCTGCAGATAGTCACTTAGTGTGGGGATCATGTATCCACCTAGAAAAACACACCAGACACACTGTCCATGCTAAGCAGGATGCTGGGGAGCCCTGCTCCTGAGTTAGAAACACCAAAGTCACTTTGTCATGTGACCAGGGGGACCAGGACAGGGTAGGAATGGGGAAAGGTGCTCTCAAGCATGTGATCCCCTTATGCTGTGCCAGCCACTCTTGATTTCTTGACATTATTCAGGTAACTTAAAAAAAAAAAAAAAACCCGAAGGGATGGCTTGTTGGGAGGGAAGAAGGAAGGAGTTGCAAATTCACAGTAAAACAAAATCTGATTAGAAAATTCAGTTAGCAGTTCTGTGGGTTGCTGATGAGATGCTCTTCTGTGCTCTGCTGAGCTGGATGAGAAGGAGGGGGCTCTGGTAGAAGGCTCAGGTGCTGGGAGCTCCCAGAGAGTTGTGCTCAAGGTCATAGAAACCAAGACTTCTAGTCATAGGCTCCTTGTTAGAGCCCTGAAGTGTGCTGTCTTCTCCACACCAGGCCCAGAGTTCACATTCCTAGGGTTGTGCTGTGTCCCCAGCAAGCCCAGTAAAGCCCCCTCACCACCAGGACACCTGCCTTTGCTGAAGTGGAACTGTTAGCTCTGAATTCGCTTACTCAGCCAAGCCCACAGCTAATTTAGAGACCCCATTACTTTCCATCCCGTCTTCTCTAGTTTTGAAACGATGGCGAAACGAGGCATAATAGACATATACTTTGGTTCAGAAGAGTCTGAGGTACCTAAGTCCATAACTCTCAAATGAGGACATTCAGATATACAGCCTCTGGTCCTAGAGGCCCCAATCTCCCTGCCATTCCACACTGCCCTTGGCTGTGCTTTCTGCCCCAGGTCCTTGCAATACTCGGCCTTCTACTCTAACCACTTTTTCTTGTTCTTCCCAAAGCTGTTTTATTCCCAAGCTTCTTGTTCAGATTCTGTGTGCCTAGAGGGAAGAGATGGCACATCTGAGGCCCTAGTAGGCTGGAACAGTGGATGGGCAGGCAGGGGCTGAGGAAGTGTGGCCACAGCCAATCTTAGTTTCCAGCCCTCTTGACCCTGGGACCCCAAACTCCAGTGTATAAGGCCTCACAGTCTCTGCATCTGGCACAGGGTGGGGATGGGCCACCTCACCTTGGGTAGGGCATACTTGGGCAGCTTCATCAATACGAAGTCACTGCGGCGATACGAGACATAGTATTTGGTTCGGTTTGTTGCTGTTGCCTAGGGGAGAAACACAGCATCAAGGGACAGAATCTCCCGTCAACCCCCACTCTCAGTTTGAAAGCAGGCCTCTCAGCCAGTGGCCATGGCCATTGCGGTTCTTCTTCTGCAATGATGACAATACTTCACTAGACGACTCATCTGTGGTGGGAGGGACTCTGCAGTATGGAGGTGGCCAGGCCTCTGCAGCACTGCTATGACCTGGACACACAGAGGTCCTGGGGACTGGAGAAAACATCCCTGTGGTGGGAAAGCCTGACACCCTTCCCACACACAGCAACTACCCACTGGGACAGCCCCTGGGACTGCTCCATGGGGTTCTCTGAGAGCACCATCCCGTTCCAAAGAAACTGAGCTCAGAAAGCTGGTGTCACCCTCGGAAGGCCCTGAGCCTTTCTCAGGGCTGGAATTTGAAGCTGAATGTTGCACTCCAGCTCCACACCAGACAGCCGCATGCACAGAAACCTGTACACACTGGGACTCACTGAGAGAGAAGGCCTCCAACAGGTGGGGGATACTATCTATGCCTGTCAGAGGGTCCATTCCCAGAGCCTGTCTGGTAGATGAGCTCAGGGACAGAAGTAGAGCCAGGCTTCACCTCTTCTCATTCCTTGGGGAGGCCTATGGAGTGCATTAGTGGAGGATTAGTGTACAAGGGTATAGCCACTCCCATTCCTGCCAGAAACTGATTGTGAAGGCAGCAGGGCCTTCCATGAGGCATAGTGGGAAAGAGAACCTCATCTCCAAGGTCCTTCCTACCTGCAGGTGCTGGGGGCAGGGCAATGCACAGAGGTTTTGAAAGTTACCTTGCCTGGGGAGTGGATTAGGGACAGGCACGGCATATTGCACTGTCCTGAACAGTAAAACTGGGGTGTGTTAGTAGCCCACACAGATCTTTTCATGCCAGTCATTCCTCCCAGAGTGACCACACACACTGTGGGGAGCCACTGCCAGGCTAGAATGGGTTGGGAAGGCTGGAGTCACAGTGTCACCTGTGGGATGCTTGTCTATGTGAGTGCTATGGTGTTATCAGCCCATGAAACGGAGCAGCAAGCAAAGGCCCAGATGTAATCTGAAGGCTCACTTGAAGCAAGCAGTGGCAACTTTGCATCTGACACCCGCATGGTCTGATAGGAGGCCAGCCCCTCTGTCGTCTTCCATCACCTTCTCAAAGCACAGCTTCAGAATAGTGGAACCAACAGAAGCCCAGGCCAGCCTCAGCTTTGTGACTGTTCCTGTTCCAGATAATCCAGAAAGAGCTGCCATACCAGTTGTGTCCTCCCATGCCCCACCCCCGCACCTATTTCTTATGGGGTAACCTTGCATTTACTCTACCCAGACTGGTGAGGCTTTACTTATGCCCCAAGCATGGCTTGATAGAGAAGTTCTGGAGTCCTGCTGATTCTCAAGTTAGCACCATTTTACCAGGGCAGACCAAAGATGTGACCGTGGGACAAGAGACATGCCAGATGCTAGCTGTCCCTGTTGGAAGGAGATGGTGTGTCACCTGGTCTGATGTCAGCCAGGCAGGAAGAAGCAGTGGACCCCACTTGACCACCTCAGGCCCAACAGGAGAATGCCCAGTGGAGAGGGTGGGCTGCTGTCTAGTTCTAGGTGTGATGCTTGACAGGACTACTGTGTTTTCTGGGGCTTGGTTTTCTCTCCAGCAACAGCAACCACAGCAGAGCAGGGGTGGGAAATAATAGCTACAAAAAGGGACAGGAACAGGAACCCAAAGGTATAAATGCAGAGCACAGAAGACTTGGTGGACATGGCTACTGGTGATACAGCTGGAACCAGTGTAGTCTGGGGCCTCCTGTCTGGCTGGGAGAGAATGGCCCATGCCGAGGGAGGAGTGTCATGGAGACTGGGCTGGGGAGAAGTATGGGAACCTGGAGGACCCTCAAGTGACAGAGTACTGGGCATAGTTTTCTTGCAAGAAGCTCTGAGATTGTCTCACAGGTTCCAGAGGGCAGAGCAGGGACCAGCAGTGGTATCCAAGGAAATGGCCTGTCTCTGTAGATGAACTTGGAGATGGTGACCGATCATCAGTCTCTGTTGTCAACTTGATGGGATTTAGAATCACCATGGAAACCAACCCCTGGGTTTGGCTGTGAAAGGTTATCTGGGTTGATTGAGGTGAGAAAACCATCCTAAATGTAGGCAGGGCCGTTCTGTGGGCTGTTCAGAGTCGAGCACTGAACAAAGAGAAAGTGAGCTAGTACCAGCATTCACTCTTGGCTGACTGTGTGCAACTGAACAACTGCCTTACACTCCTGCCATCATACCTTCCCTGCCATAGGGACAGTTTCCCCGTAATTGTAAAGCAGAAGAAGCCCTTCATCCTTAGCGTCTTCTTGTCAGACACTTGGTTGCAGCAGAAGAAAAATAAACAAGACAATGGCCAGGAAGTCTAGCAGAGGCCAGGCCTCCCACTCTAGAGGGGTCAAGAAGCTTCCCCTCCAGCATTCACTAGCATTTTCCAATCGGCCTGAGATATGTATTGGAGGGTACTGCAGTGGTGTCTTGGTCACAGGGGTTCAGAGACACAGGATAAGACTAGAAGCATGAAAGCATGAAAGTGAAATATGTATACTTGTACTTGTGGGGAGGGTCCTGGTGTGCAGAGGGAGGAGTCAGGAACAATCTTGAGTCAAAGTTCTGGTGCCTGGGGGCCACAGTACAGGTACAAAGACATTGATCCCTGCTAAGTGGCATTTGGAAGTTGAAGTGCTGTTTTATTGCCTCTTCTGATGGTAAAAGTTCATGTGCAGTCCCCTCCCAGCATCTGGAACACTCACCTTCAGAAAGATGTACTCGTCCTGCACAGTCAGGGAGCCACAGTCAATAGGGCCAGCGAAGGGTGCCGTGTGGGGCTGAGCAGAGCAGTTGTGGATCAGGCAGGTGAGGTACCGACAGCCTGCAGGAGAGGAGAGCAGCCAGACATGCAGATCCCATGGAGAGCAGTGGAGACTCAGAGCAAGGCTTCCCGGGCTCATCACTTTATAACACCAGCACCTTGACTTGGTCTAGAGCTTTTCTTTTCTTTCTTTCTTCCTTCCTTTCTTTCTTTCTTCTTTCTTTTTTTTAATATTTATTTATTTATTATGTATTCAATGTTTGGTCTGCATGTATGTTTGCACACCAGAAGAGGGCAGCAGATCTCATTATAGATGGCTGTGAGCCACCTTGTGGTTGCTGGGAATTGAATGCAGGACCTTTGGAAGAGCAGCCAGTGCTCTTAACCTCCGAGCCACCTCTCCAGTTCTAGAGCTTTACTTTTCAAAGGGCCTTGCTTTCTATGATACCAGCCAGCCAAGGGGGGCCAGGAGCCACTCAAGATCTCTTTAGCTCCTAGGGAGGGTTGGCTGTAACACACAAGTGGGGCCAGGAGCCACTCAAGATCTCTTTAGCTCCTAGGGAGGGTTGGCTGGCATGTCAGAGAGCCATTACCCACAAGAAGTGACAAACAGACAGTTCAGGAACCTCTCTAGGCCCCACGCAGCCCAAGCTCCACCTTCTCACAGACCTGGGCACATGACTGGGAAGAAGTAGGTGGCTCTAGACACTCTTTCCCCTGATCTTGAAGTCAAAGCTCCCATCTGTTCTCACAAAGCTCCAGTACAACAAACTGAATTGGGTTCTGTGAGGAAGCTGTTGTCTCCAACCTGAGAGGTGTTTCCAGGGCCAGGGAAACAGCCACACTGAGGACTTTCCACTCACGCAAACCCTGGATTGTTCACTCACAGCTTAGTTATTTTCTCACTCACTCACTCACTCACTCACTCACTCACTCACTCAGTTACTACTCACTCCCTCACCCACCCACTCCCTCACCCACCCACTCACTTACCCACTCACTCACTCACCCACTCACTCATTCAGTCACTCATTCACCCACTCACTCACTACTCACTCAGTCACTCAGTCACTCACTACTCACTCACTCACTCACTCAGTCACCACTCACTCACTCATTCACTATTCACTCACTCACTCATCCACTCACTCACTCACTCACCACTCACTCACTCATCCACTCACTCACTCACCACTCACTAAGTCAGTCAGTCACTCACTCACTACTCACTAGCTCATATACTCATTCATCCACTCATTCACATATTCATTCCCTCATCCATTCACTCACTCATCCACTCATTCACTCACTCTTCACTTACTCATTCCATAACTCATTCATTCACTCACTTTCTCATTCATTCACTCTCTCATCCATTCTCTCATTCCTTCATTTATTCACTCTTCAGTCTTACTGTTTCACTCATTCATTCATTTGCTTATTCATTCAGTCAGTCACTCTCACTATCCTTCATGCACTATTCATGAGGAAACTGCCTGGAGGAAGGTCCTAAGCAGTGACTGTCATGGAGTGTCTTAGAAACAGTGAGAACTGCTGCTCTGGAGAGAAGCAGATAGACGAGGCCACTACAGTGTGGTGAGGTGAGTGAGTATCTTGGTGTCCATCACACAGGCAGAATACCCACAGGGGTGTACTCAGGGTATCTGGCTTCATTTAACAGTTCTGCTGGAGACACTGAGGAGAGCCAGTCAGCACCCAGCCTCAAGGAGCTCTCAGGCCAGGGGAATGCAGAGGAAAGCTGGGTGTTAGGGTGCTGCAGAGTCCTGAGGAGTGACTGGTGAAAAGGTGGCCTGGGCAGGTGATGGGAAAAACCCCATGATAGATAAAGGGAGACAGGCAGTCCCAGCCAGGCAACAGGAGTGTGGTGAGCTTGGAGCAGGGTCCTCTGGAAGGCCCAGCTGGCTGGAGGATAATGGAGAATGGGTTAGGAGGTGGGTCCTCAGGACTTTGAATGGTCTACAGCCAGGCTCTGAAGACTGCTCTAGCAGGGCTCTAGGCAGGAAGCGAGTGAGTATGAGGTCTTCATGAGCTGGGGAGGGTCCCACTCATGAGCTGAGTTGGCCCAGGAGCTCTTGATGCAGAGTTCAGACTGCTGCACACAGGCTCTGCTTCCTCTAGGATGAAGGACCTGAATAGCCCCGAACCAGACCTCAGCTCACCTTCCCCCCTGGGGCATAGCACGTCCTGACTCTCAGCCAGGCCTGTTGACACGTGGAACCTTTCTGGGATATTCTCTGTATATTCCCTATGAGGTGTGTGTCCAAAGACCTGGCAACCAAATAGCCCCTGCTTACCAAAACAGTAATTGCAGTAACATTTGGCCCCACCCTTTGAGGCATGGAGCCCTGGCTGATAACTTGGAAATGGTACATGTCATCATCTGGCAGCAGCTGCCTGCACAGAAACTAACCTGTGTGGATTCAATGTTTGCCACTACACATGCATCAACCCTCTTTTTCCCCCTGCCCTGCTTTACAGGTAGAAGGACCAAATTTACCTGCTCAGGACCCCCAGGACTCCACCCGGCTGGTGCCTGTGGACTGCACAGGACTGTCAGGAAGGACAATGACCTCTGTCACCTCCACAACACAAGAGACTAACATGCACATACAAGTGAGTGGATTGCTCAGTGTGAAGGCTGCAAGTGGCAGGAAGCTTTTGGCTGGGGCAACCAAGCCCTGCCTTCAGGAGGGGAGCAACAGAGACACTGGGCCATCTCAGCCCTCAACCAGGCTGGGTGGGACCATGCAGTAGGAAACACTCAATGATCAGGAGCTGGAACAAATTGCCCTTTTAATAGAGTTTCCACAGAGCAGGGCTCCTCCACTTCAATTCATCCCCAGCGGGAAAGAAGCACGCTTCTAATTATGCCACATGAGAAAACAGTGAGGTTGGTCCACAGGGCTGGCCACTGAGGATTTGACAGTGAGCAGAGCCAGGCAGTGAACAGTGCCACTAGACAAGGATGCTCAGGGACACCTGTGAGTGCCCACCTCTCACTTACCTCCACTGAGGTCCTGTGCTTCCATGTGCACCAGGTTGGGGTCGGTGTCCACCCCAGACACAGCCCTGGAAAAGAATTGACTGAAGGTAGCATCAGCAAAGGGGTGGCTAAACCCTTCCCTTGGGCTTCCACTGGCCACATGGCCACTTTGGGTCTGAGACAACTCCTTTTCTGAGGGTTCAGAAGACACAGCCCTCCCCACTAAACCTACAAACTCCAACAGGAGTCTGAATGAAGCTGGATAAAGCTTGGTGAGGCTGGCACCTGCTTGTTCATAATATTCATCTCTTCCCCAGGGTCTCCCACACCAGCTGAGGCACAGGCTTGGACCTCTGGTTCAGATCTGATCTGCACAGAGGGGAAACCCAGAGGTACATAGAGACAAGCCCATGGTCACACAGCCCTAACAGGTTCACTGGGATTCCAACTAGGATCCAGATCTGAGTGGCTGCCCTCTTCTTTACCTGATGCCAACTGGTCAAGTTGCCCATCACAGGGGATGCTGGGTAAAACCCCTTCCACATTTGTCCCAACCCCTCTGTGTTAGCAGAAGCTGTGAGAACAGTGGTTTTCCATATCACCCTTGCCAACCTACACCAGAGTCCCCTAAGCCATGGTTGAGTCTTGTATTTCACAGGCCAGGGATTTTGTGACTTGCCCAAGGACATAGGTGCTGGCCAGGGTGGCCTGAGCTTCCCATCAGGTCTGCCTGATCCAGAAGTCATCCTCCTCTCAGAGCCCATATGCCCCTGCTCCTAAGGTCCATGTCCTAGGACACTATTGAGAAGCCGTGTCAAGCCTGAGGGAGGAAGCCATGTGACATCCTGAGAAGTCCCACAGCACCTCCAGGAGCCAGTGGAACCCACTCTGCCAGCACCTTTCCAGGTTTGGGGGGACAGAGATAAGTAAGTACTTAGGGGTCAGGAAGCTCAGGCTGGGCTCTGTCCCAGCCAGTACATCCCTTCTTCCAAACCTCCAGATGTGCTCATCTATATAGGAGAGCCAGAGAAGGGGAGGAGGGGAGGGGAGAGAGTATGGGAGGGAGACAGTGAGAGGGGAAACAAGCACATGGGGAGGAAGCCCTCTTCCTGGTGCAGAGGCATAGGAACCCAGGTAATAGCTACATACACTGGCAGGTCCTCAGAGCAGGGGACATGCTAGGTGCTCTAGTAGCCATTTAAATGCCCATTCACCTGCATGTACTGTGGTGAATACCTAGTCATTCATTTGCCCCATTCACCCATTCATTCACTCACTCACTCACTCACTCATTTACTTACTCATGTACTCTTTCACTCTCTCATTCATTTGCTCAGTCATAACAAGGCATTGGCCAGTGTCTGCTTTTGTTGTTTTTATTCCAAGGCTGTTGACCACTGAGGGAGGCAACAGTCCCATAACAGGCACCCTGCTGCACATCCCTCTGGGTCTCCCTAAGGAGCCAGTGTGTTGTGTAGCTCCAACACTGCTAATGAGTCAGGCCTCAGATAGAGCAGGGGTTCTTGTGCATTCCGCTGCCAATCCAAGGACAAAGCTGTCAAAACAGCTTTATCTGTTGCGTACAACAGGGGCCGTCCCTTGTCTGTCACCATATTCCAGAAGGGATCCAACCAGCTGCACTGCCAAGCATCCTATGATTCTCCCACGTAACAGGCACAGCCCTCAGCCACAGGAGAAGCTTGTGGGAAGAGCCTGTCTGGCTTGTCCAAGATAATAGTAGCATTCCAGAGCTGGTTTCTCTAGCCAGAGAGTCTCCATGAGTCAGGCTGGGATACTCCTTAACCTGGCTTGGGACAGGTGGCCATGTACAGTCTCCCTGAGTCTTCACGTCCATGGAGCTCAGAAATCACACTTCCTGACCTTAGTCCCCACCTCCTGGGAGTGACTCCAGGGGCAGTTTCTGCTCCTGACAGAAGACATCGTTGTTGGGCCTGTGATTGACAGCAGCCCTCTGGTTTCAGGGAGGGTACTCCAGTGGGCTGCTGCAGAGGGACAATCATCACTTCCCCCAGGAGCAGAGGACACAGATGCCAGGAGTGTTCAGAGCCAATTGAGGACATGGGAACTGGATCCTTGTGAGGAGATAGCATGGAGTCACAAGAAGGTGGGTGGGTGGGGCTGTTTTCATCATGCATCCCCATTGGAGACAGTACTGTGTTCTGGCTGGAGGGCCAGTGTGAAGTTTTATGCCCATTTGCACTAAGACAGGAAGGACATGAAAGAACATGTATGTGTGTGCATATGTGTGTATGTAAGAGAAAGCCCGTGCAGGTAGGTGCACGTCTAGAAAGGGAACCATGGTCAAAGCCAGCCTGGTACAGTGTGGGCTCTGAGCCAGCTGCCTTAGTTTCCCATCCTCTCTTTACTGCCAGCCCACTATGGTCTTGCTTGAACAGCTAGCATCTGCTTCCTGAACTTCAGAGCTGCCTGACTTGGGTGGTGGGGCTGGAAGCTGCCCAAGTCCCTGAAAGGGCTCCCAGAAAGTCATGAAAATGGGGAGCCAGCACCCCCTGGTCTTTGTCTGTGACCTGAGTCCCATTCCACCTTCATTCACTGTCTCCCCTGCTTCAGCCCTCAGAGGCTGCTGGGCACCCTGGGTCTTTGTTTCCTAGCAGGACTGAACATTGTGATTTCATGGGCCAGAGGAGTGAGTCCCAGGGTACTGGTGGGCAGGAAAGTGAGACCATGCAGACAGGGTCTGAGCAGCTCTGGAGCATGGTAGGTTGACACAAAGTACATCTCAATAGCAGATGGGGTTGAATTAGTGAGGAGTTGGGAGGAGGGTAGCCAAGAGCATTGAGCCACCCTGAGCTGTACTATGTTTTACCTCTTCCAAATAGGTGGATATACAGGACAAGGGTAGGGTCTAAACATCCCAAAGCCACCAGGGAACAGGGCCTGAGGGATGCTGAGCCCTGGACACCCCCAGGAGCACACACAGAGGACCCTAGAGTTCTCCTGGGGTGAAGAGGAGGCAAGGCCTGTGATAAAGGCTCTCATGGAAAGGGCTCTCACCAGAACACGTGGTCCTTGGTCACCCGTTCCTGTAGAAGTGTCCACTTCTTCCCCAGGTCAGATGACACATATAGCTGCAGAGCAGACAAAAGAGAGACAGAGCTTTTTCAGGGATGTCTGAGTGACAATGATTTGCTACAAGGCTCCCCAAGGGATGCCACTTTTATCCTGCGGGCACACTGGAGCTGCAGGCTAACCACCAAGGACTAAAGCCACAGAGAGGGCTCCACACAGAGGTCTTCTCACTGAGGCTGGCTGTCAGGTGAATTCTTGGGGTGTCCAGCTCCAGCTGGACATAAAACAAACACCTGAAGGTTCCCCAGGGTGGGTTCCTTTTCCCTTTCCAGCCTGAGGCGGCCTATGTAGTCTGGCAGATTCATGTGGGACCTTGCCTCTTCTTTTCCTCTCCCAGGCCTTCTCAGGACTTCCCTGATTCCAGCTCCCTCTGTTGGACACTTCTGCATGGGTCCTGGTGACCTCATTGGACAAGTAGTGCTACTGTATGCAGGAAACCGAGGAAAAGGCTTTTGCTGGAGGGTGACAGAGCATAGCCAATGTGGGCTGTGACTTCATCTCTCAGGCTGAGTCAGGGAGAAGTTTTAAGTAGAGTGGCCTTGGATTCTTGCTGGCCAGGTCCTCTGACTTTTATGATGGGGCCAGGGCAGTGGGAAGGACGTGATAGAGACAGACTGACTTCCTCTCTCCAGTCAGTCTTAACTCACAGCTGGCCAGCTACGGTGTCCAGCTGTAGACAGATAACTCAGGCATGCATTTGCTACATGACAGCCACAGTGAACCCTAAAACACATCTCCCTCATTCTCCTATGTCCCTATCCCTGAAATCCCATGTCTTCTTTGAATGGTTTTCATGCCAACCCTTCACATGCTGAGAGAGTAGGCATGGAAGTGGCTGGTCTGTTAGCACTTTCCTCAAGACACTTTTCACTTGTGTTATTTCATGGGTTTTATAGGTGTCTCCTCCTCCTGGGTTACTGTGACAACTGTGTACTACCTCTCTTCCTGGAGATACATGGGACCACATGATTCTGCACATTGAGGTCCGTCTTCATCTGAACTAGGTTTAGAACTGTGTGGTACTTTCTGTAGCTCTGCCTCTGCTCTTTGTGCCTGTATGGCACTTGGTTTCCTCACCCATCAAGCATCATCCTTGGCAGTGACATTCTGAAGCAGGAGACTGTGATTCCAACAGCCGTGGTTTCTGGCAGAGCCCCTCATTCATAGCTGTGGGACCATGCCTGCGCTCCGGGATCTTTTAAGATTCAGTTTCCCTCTTTAAAAACTAGGACTCCACATACCTGCCTTAGAGGGGTGGGGTGGGACATCTCAATCACCTCACAAAGTGGCAGAATCTGGGCATGTGCCCCTCAGCTTTGAACAGTGCACTGGGAATTGGCCCTGTGTTTGGAGCCCCCAGCTTCAGTCTCACTTCCTTCCACTCCATTTCCCATCTCCATGTACTCTTGGTTGCCTGGGGCATGCACCCGCCTGGCTCACCTTTAGCAACACCGCTGAATGGATCCTTCTCTGCCAGGTACTCAAGTGAGTTTTCTGAATGAGTGAGCACATTTGGCCGTGGGGCAAAGTCTAGCTAGAAAGGGCAGGAGATGAAGTATTTCTGGCTTGGTGGCCTGAGTGGTCTCTATGGGAACACTCACCTCTGTCTTCTGAGCAGAAGCTGAGAGAGCTGAGAGTGCAGGCTAAACACATAAGCACGGCTGGATGACAAAAAGCTTAACAGGTAGCTGGACACCTGTTCTGGATTGCATGCTAAGAAAGCATCACCTTCCATTTGTAAAAGGCTTTAAAAGGGGAAGTTTTCCTCCCTAGGATGACTGCAGGCCAGGCAAGGTACTCCTGTGCCCTGCGAAGCCCCTGGACCTGGGTCTGGTGTGACCTAAGGCTCAACAACTACCAAGGCAGATGGCTCACTGTGGCTGTGATCTATATCAAACACTATCTCATGGAAAGCCCACACAGATACACACTTATACACACTCAAGCCCATACCCACCCACCCCTCACATACACACTCATGCCCCCCCACACACACTCATGCCCATATAGATACACACACACACACACACACACACTCATGCCCATATAGATACACACACACTCACCAACACAATCATCAGATGAACAGTTTTTCTATCTTTACAAGATAAGAAAACTAAGGCTGAGAGAGCTGAGTACATGAATCAGTGTAACACAGCATTTACACATAGCAGCAATTCCCATCTCATAGACCCGAGTTCACAGTACTATGTCAGTGGTGTAGAGTGTCCCTAGGAATGGTGGGTGGTCATCCCTGGCCCTCTCTCAGTCATCTCAATAAAGGGGGTCAGCCCCTTTCCATCTCATGACTCAGTTTATCCATCTGCAAATTGGTAGAGCATTGCTGACACCCACAGCCAGTCAGTCAAGAAGACAAGCGTTTAGGGGCTTGGTGACAAAGTTTCTACAGAAATGAGTGGTATTATCGTTGCTATCACCACCAAATGTGCTTATGTTTACGATGCCCATCCCAGAGTTTTATGGAGCCTTTCCAGTTCATTCTCATGGGGGGCAGTAATTTTACTATCTGCCATCAATTGCTGCAGAAATAGAACACTTCTGCTTAATAAAAGATAAATGTTGAAAATAAACAATAACAAACATCAGAGGGATGCCCTAGTTCCTGTAGCTAAAATCTGCATAGAGGTATTTTGTAGCAGGATGGTGGATCAGCACCAGAGGGTGTATCTCAGGAGAGTGTTGGAATGTGCTTTTGGGAATTATTGTCCTGTGAAGATGAGAAATGCAGCCAAGCCAAGGAGAAGATGACGTCAAGAGAAGGTGCACCCTAGGAGTGCACATCAGTGACCTTCATATGAGGCCAGAGACACGGCAGCTCTGCCCCGGGCTGTAATGGCATCACTATTAAAGATCCTCAGTTTTCATCCTCCCTTACTCAGAATGCCTTATTGTCTCCATAGGTGGGGACACTAATGCCTGACATTGCGCTGACTCTCTTGCAGCTAGACTGCTGGGTCAGAGGTGGAATGAATTCACAGGGTTAGGAAAGCCAAAGAAAATGAGGCATTTTCCTTCCTTCCTTGGTATACTTCTGGTGTCCAGCATGTCCCAGAGGGCATTCTCAGCTCTGGGGTGCAGAGGCAAATGTCCACTCTGTTTTCGAATAGCTGCTGGGGATCTGAACTCAGGGCTTCACGCTTGTGCAGAAAGCACTTTGCAGACTGAGCCATTTCCCCAGACCCAGAGGAAGTTCTTGGCTGGAAGGGAAAAAAGTAAGGAAAAGCAAAGCAAAATAAACAATGTGAATCTGACCTTGTCTTACAAGTAAGTAACCCCATCTCTGCCAGCAAGCAGGCCCACAGCTCAAGCCTAAGGAGATGAGGCTGTGGGTGATGAGACAGTGGACCCCAGAGACCAGGACGTCCTGGTCCCAGGAGCCTTGGGAGCTTGCTAAGACTTGGAAGGAGTATATATTGGGTGTCACTCAGGAAGCTTGGCCAGACTGCAGTAAGGTACCTCAGATTGTGCCCCAAATCATGACATAGTGAGGAAGGAACAGAGGAAGACAGGATACCCCCAAGTGAGGTAGAGCCTTTGTCAGATCAAGGGCAGATATCTTGGAAGAGGAAGGAGGTAGGACAAGAGAAGGAGAGGTGGGGAGTGTCAGAGAAGGAGAAAAGAGTCAGGCAGTAAAACCTTAATTCTGTTCATATGGTATTTGTGTCTATCCTGGTGGCTCAAGGGTTAGTGTAGGACTGTGTCTGGTAAAACTGAAGCTGGTAAAGTTTCTGTGTTTTGTTCTAGCCATGTGGTGAGAACAACATGCTCCTCAGATGAGAGCCACATGGAAGCCTGCACCCTAGTAGCCAGGAATCTCATACAGAGGATTCCAGCAAAACCCTGCAGGGTCCCAGCTTCCTGAAGACCCAGGGCCAATTCCCAGTGTTCTGCTCTGAGCCAGGGAGCTTTGAAATGTCCTCCTCTCAGCACAGTGTCCAGATGCCTGGATAACAGCAGGTTTGTAGAGTCAGAGTTAGCATGATTCCACTACACACCTAGCTTCTTGGACACCGAAAAGCATTGACAGACCACCAAGCCCCGCCCCAAACTCAAGATGGTCATCACTGACTAATTTCCCCAAACCCCTCATTCCTTTTATAACAGCAATTAAACCTTTTTCCTCTCCTTTCTTTCCTTGTCATCACAGAAAAGAGCCAAGGAAAATAACCAAGGTTTCAGCTCCATTAATTTTTCAGGGCGCCATAAATTAAAGAGCAATTGCAACACAGTCAATTTCTTCAGGAAAATAACTCGCTGTAGCCGTGCTTTGGTCTAATTACATGGAAGGCTAAGTAGCACTATTAATACCCAGAAGGGTGTGCAGCCCTGAGGGAAAGGGATAGGAACAGACAGGCAGCCACGGGCTAGGGACACAAGACAATATGTGTTAGACCTTGCCAAGGAGGCTGGGCTCTGGGGGAAAGCTGGGCTTGGCTATCACCACTCTCCACTTGGGGCTCTCTTACCTGACTGATCCCTGTTAGTAGGAATTGTCATTGATTCATACCTTCATTCATCTAACCAGCTGCTCTCTACCCATCCATCCATCCATCCATCCACCCACCCATCCACCCATCCGTCTATCCACTACCTATCCACCCACCCATCCATCCTTTCTTATGTCTACCCATAATCTATCCAATCATCCACCTTTCTACCTATCCATCCATCTACCCATCCATCCATCCATCCATCCATCCATCCATCCATCCATCCATTGATCCATGCTGGCCCTCACACCTGTCCCTGTCCCAGGAGCTGATGAATAGCAGTTTCCACTGGATGCTGTTCTGGCCTCTGGCTGGGTAGAGCCAAAAGGAACAGAATCATAGACTGGCTAGCAGGAAGGGAGGGGCTGTGGGTTTTCTTCCTGCTCCTCTCCCTGATAGTCACCGTGTGGCAAGCACTGCATAGCTGTCACCAGGGATGGACTCCCTTCCTGGGACCTTTGCTTTGCCTGTTGTGTGCTACGGTGACAGGCTATCCTTCCACTCCAAGACAGGTATAGTCTGATCATACCCTCATGTATGGCCCCAAACAGCTTTACAGAGGTGCGTTTTAGGGTATGGGAATTATCTGGTGGGCCTGGGGTGAAGTTGTCTCTGTCTTCATGAAAGACAGGGAATGTGGGAGGGTTCAGATATGTAGTCATGGACATTGGTACACCAGCATGTCCATGTACACATGCAGGGGGCATTCTCAAAATGCCTGGAAGATAGGGCAATGCTACCTTAACACAAAACACATGGTGACCACCAGGACTGGGAGAGGGAGGCAGCTGTCCCCACCCAGCATCTCAGGGACACTCAACTTCAGCCCAAAGATACTAATTTTACACTTCTGGCCTCTAGGACTGTGACAAAAAAAATTCTGTCATTTAAGCTCCCAAATCTGTGGTCCTGGCCACCATGGCTACAGGAAACCATCCCGTGCCTCTCCACTTGAACATCTACTAGCCTAAGGCAAAGGAGGAGAGACAGAGGAGGCCTGGCATTATCTAGGATCTTCTGACCCAGCTTACAGGCCTCTGGGTGCCAAGGACTATTTGCTGCCACCTTACTTACTGTAACACACACCATTGGTGTGAGACTCCCCATGCCGATAGAAGGCCTCATGTATGTCAGCAAGGGCAATGCTGAGGTTTGTGCCTCCCAGCTTAAGCAAGGCTCTACCTCCCCTGATAGGAAAGCTGCTTCTGTCCTGACGTCTGTCTGACTGGGTCGTCTGGCCTCACATCCCATGTCCTCTTACCTTGCTGTCTTTGGTGTAGGCAAGAACCTTGTCCTCCTCCTTCGGGTGGAAGAGGAGGCTCTCCACGAGGAAGGGGACAGGATACTTCTGGAAGGTGGTACCCTCGTCGGTGCTGAGGAAGAGACTCTGTTCCCGGTCACCAAGGGACGAGCTCACCAGGATGATCTGAAACACAGAATGTGATGCTGAAATCAGGGTTACTGCTAAGTGGGGTGTTCTCCCTCACTGCCTCCCCACTCTTTCATGGAGGCCCCCATCAGGCACTGTGGCATAGCTGAAGCTTGGCCTGGAAACCTAAAGGCCAAGGGTTCTACAATGCAGAGGAATAAGCTCCAGGGAGAGCTTAGACAGGTGTGGGTATGTGGGAAGTGGGTGATGGGAGTGGAGGTGTCTGCCTGAAGAAGAGAATGATGAGTTAGATGGGTGTTAGCCTAGAACTCAAGGGGAGGAAGAGGGGCTAATGGGGGTGGGAGGACTACTACAGGGTCACTGCAGCCAGTTGACTGGTGTCCTCTGAAAAGATGTATCCATACACCACGTCTCTGGGAGAGTGAGTGTTGAGAGCACATCCTGCCCTAAGACCTTCCATGCTGTGTAAAATGTGGGTTTGGGGCTCTTCCTTGCCTGCAAAGAGTCCATTTTACCAGCAGCATTTGGCTTTCAGCACAAAACATGGGGGGCAGGATGACTTTACCTTGATGGGCATGTAAATAAGATGGCCTGCCCAGAAAAGTGATTATTCCTAAGCAGACAGGGGTTCACTCTTGAGATTTATCAAAGTAAACTGGCCCCTCTGAGTAAATGGGTGTATTAAATCACACTAGGAAAAACAGGCCAGGAATTATCAGACACAGGAGACTGAAGAAAGGGTGCAACACCCTTACCTGGACTCCATAAAGAAGAGGTCACCTGACACCATGATGGTGGCCTGTTATCTGACTCATGTATGCACTAAGGAGTGTGAAGCAGAGACTTCCAACTGCCTTGAAGGCTTCAGCTTAACTTGGTTCCCATGGTTGACATGGCCTACTTTGACTGCTGTCTCCCTCCCTGCCCACCCATTTGCCCATATGACCTGACGTTCATCCATCCATCTGTTCACCCCTCTGGATCTGGATCTGCCCTCCATCTTACAGTCTCTGCTGTTCTGTACCTCTTTCCTGAATCGTGATGACCCTGAAGCTCAGCTCAGCTCTGAGCCTGTGGCTGACTTGGAAGCACAGCCTCCAGCAGGCTTCACATCTTTTTCCCACAGGGACTTTCTTCTCATCCCCATCGACTTTCTGCTTGCCTTCAGCTAGGGCTCTCAAACTCCTTGAACTCAGCTGTAGCCTCTTCAGTCCTTTGTATCCATCCTGCAACCTACTGTTTCAGTGAGGTTTCTATTGCTGTGATAAACAATTTGGGGAGAAAAGGGTTTGTTCCATCTTACAACTCTCAGATCACACACTCCCTCATCATAGGAAGTCAGAACAGGAACTCAAAAAAGGTAGGAACCTGGAGGCAGGAACTGGAGAGGGCATGGAGGACTGCTGCTCACTGGCTTGCTCAGTAGGCTTTCTTACAGTGCTCAGGACACTTGGACAGAGCTGGTGCCACCCACAGTGAACTGAGCTCTCTCACATCAACCATTAACGAAGAAAATTTTCCACAGACCAATCTGGTGTGGGCATTTTCTCAGTTGAGATTCTCTCTTCTCATCATGACAAAAACAAACGAGAACACCTACCTATAGAGATAGGTAGGCATACATATAGATAAAAACATGTACATACACACACACATACATCTTCTGTGTGCCATGCAACTGTGTTCCAAGAGTTAATATTAGTAATCATGATTGGAATAAAGAACCAGTATTCACCTTGGCCAGCTACCAAGGAAATCGGGCTAGTTGGTAACTGCAGCTAACAGATTGAGGTAGCCTGTGAATTGAATACTAGTCAGTACATTCTGATGTCGTGAAAGACAGAAACATGTCCGTCCATCTTCTTGATGTAGCACACTCAGAACAAGGTCCTTACTTGGGAGCATGGTCACTGGTGACAAGTGCAGGACCTCAAGAGGAGGCCATCCTAGATTTAGGGTAAGTCCACCAAGAGTGTCCTCATAAGAGGAAACAAGAGCACAGAGATGGTGACATGGGATATGTACACATGGTGCTAGAAGAAGCAGAGAACAATGGTTCCCTGGGCCTCCTGGAGTAGAATCCAGCAACCCTCCCTTGGATGCCCAGCCTCCACCCTGAGAGATAGTCCGTACCCAGCCCTGTCATATAGGAGCTCTGCTCAGGATAATGGGTTGGGAGGCACCTGACTTACATTTCCACAGCATGAATTTGGTTCTGTTAGAGGCAGGTCCCCAAGAGGCTCACAGGGGTGGGCCATTTGGGAGACTCTGTCAGCTTGGTATTGTGGGAATGAATGCCACAATCATTCAATGTGCACATCATACCCCTTTTTGGAGACCCACAGGCTGGATGAGCACCCCAGGTCCTAGGTGGCTCTGAAACCAGCTGACGAGCTCCATGACTGTGATGGTCTCTGGCTCCTCACTGTGTTCTGTCTCATCAAAGCCTTCCAAGGAGAAGTCACCACAGTCCCCAGGACCCTTGGGGAACCTTGCTGTGAGGCCTCCATATGTACTGGGAAGCCACCTGACCCACCATCTTTTAAACTTCTTTTTATGCTGCTGAGTCCCCACGGATGACTTCTCCTTTGGGCTGCTGGGGACTCCCCTCTACTTCATGGTATAGTCAAGAAAGGTAGCTGAGACCCTGCTGTCACACTATGGATCACAGGAAGGTTTCAGAGTTGAAAGGAAGAGTTGGAGAGTTCCTTAGGGTCGGGAGGCCTGGGTAAGCTGGGAAAGTGACCCTACCACACAGCATCCAGGCAAGTGGCGTCAGAGTCATTAGCTTTGAAATCCCTGAAACATAGCAGTGATAGAAAAGTGAGGACTGGCTCCTTGCCATGAACTCTCCAATCCCAGTTCATTCTCTACCCCCAGGCCACTGGCATCAATGAAGTCCCCAGAATCTCTCCTGGTTCTCCATAGTCCCAGGAAACAGCCCACCCTCATAGGCAGTGCCATAGGTTCTTTTGGGTCTGTCTCACTGTCTTCCATTTGTGCTGTGACCTCTGGTGTAGTCATGGCTGGCATGCAGTCACTCTCCTTCTCATGCATGCAGACTCAAGTCCTCAGGGGAGCATCCCTCACTCTGGGCCAGCTGCACTCCCATGATGTAACTATGTTGCATTGGTAAACTCTATTACCACCTCTGCTTAGAGAAGGGAAAGAGATGTCAAGTTCACATGGTTGTGTGTGTGTGGGGGGGGGTTAAGCAGCTGACATGCTCTGAGGGGCACTATGGTGGGAGAAACCCTCTTCTGGGCCCAGAGCTGGGGCAGGCTGTCTGGGAACCAACATAGTTGAGGAACACAGCTTCCAGGAGGGCACTGGGCACTGAGACCAGTCTCTGTCTGGAGGCTGCTGCAATGGCCTTTCAGAGGTCAAGCTTATCTGGAGAAGACAATGAGGGGCCCATGAGGATCAATGGGCTGCACAGAGCACTTGCTCCACTCCAAGTGAGCCGATGATAATCCCATCGTGCTTTTTTCCAAGGAATCCTAATGAGCTCCCTGGGAACATTAATTAGTCTCCTCCAGCATAAAGCCCACTACCTCTGTTCAGGAAGGCCTGGGAAAGACTCTCCGTAACAGGGACAAAGAGACGAGCCTGTGAGTTGTGAGGACCGGGGTAACTCAGGGAAGGGCTGCAGAGGGTTATTAAAAACGGATACTGGGTGGGAACACAGGGTGATGGATTCCGTTCCCTGTGTTACAGTGACTGAGTTCTAAGAAGCATGTGGCACTCTGCAATGTGATGAGCCAGTAAGCAGGAATGAATGACAGTAGAGAACACCCGAGGAAATGGAGGAAGCCAGAGCAGAGGTCAGTTTTAAACAGAAAGTTGGGAATTCATATTTTACTTAAATAAACTTATTTGTAGTAGTTCCAGGTAGAAGATGTGCCAATTGTCACAATGAGGGCACCAATGCTGGCCAATTAGTATCATCCAAATACCACACTGGGCTCAGATGTCACTGGCTTTCTGGTTCTGTCCCAGGACCTCATAGCCGACACCAATGATTAGTTGGCCAGGTCTTCTTGGATCCTGTTGGGAAGTTTTAACTTCCCCTGCTTTTATTATGTGGCAGTGGAGAGGCATGAAGACTGGTTTCTGCAGCAGTCCCTCCACATTTGCCTGTCATCTTCCAGCAAACACCACTGAAATGGTACTTGCTATAAGATCATCATGGTGCCTGTGCCCTGCTGGCAGGTGGCATTTGTCAGGCACCTTTGCTGTGGCTTGCTCGTCTGCCCTTTTTGGAGTGGGATGGCATCCTGCCTCTCTGAAGGTGAAGCAGCTATGAAGTGACTGGAATTCTGCACTAGAACTGGCCTCGCCTCCCCTGCTATTTACTTAATCATTCCGTTATATCACTGGGGGCTAATGAATATTTATTTTATACTTTGCATTGTAATTGATAAACTGTTTTGCTCAAAGCATCCAGCTGTAGCTCTCGGGAACTTTCAGCTCCTTCCTGTGTCCCTTTGGTGCATCCTTTTGTCCTTCCTTAGATAATCCAAACCATGTATAGACTCCTGGACAAGAAGAAAAATGACACAAGCCACCCAGATATCCTGTGTTTGGCTCACTAAACACACACTGCAACTGCTTGCTGTGGGCTTGCTGTTTGAACTGCATGCTCTTGAACAACTCTTATTTTGTACCTCTGGTGACTACCAGCATAGGTGTGGGTGGAGTTGGCAATTGGTCCATCCTGGGTGGATAGGAGATAGAATGTATGCATGGATGAGGGGATGGCCAGCCCCACCTCCACTTGGACTCCCATAGGATCCTCTGTTTATTTTTCTCTTTGGGAGAATATCCTCATGAATATTCAAGCAGCCTAGAGACCAACAGCCAGAAAGTCTCATTCACTTCTTCCTCCTCACTGCTCCTAGTAGCACACATTAGTGAAGGCTTGTTCATTCATTCATTCTTCTATGGCTGCTGAACCATGAGAAAGAAGGTGCCTTCTCTGAGGAGGGTAGTGAGGTAATGGGACAGGGTCACAAAAGCAGGGTCTCTGGCCCACC